AAGCTAAGTTCTCATTCAGCAGTTTAACCGCTGGTGCTGTAGACACATCACCTCAAAAATACCTGTTTCTATCCTGCCTATAAAAAGAGGAAAAAGGTCTTAGCTTTCCTAAGGAACTTAGTGATGCCTTCTGCTCGCAATAAAAAGTATATGCATCTAAGAAATCAGTTACGAGTTTGGCTCTATATTAAAAGAGTTGAAGCAAGGTCATTGTTGAGCATGCTGCCACACTCCACATCTGTGTTCATTTCTCTGATAATGAATAATAGTTGGGATAAAATATTTTTGATTAAGCAAAACACAAATGTTTTCCTCTTCCTCTTTATGTGAACATTCCTGTAAGCCTAGATATAGATCACCTTCTTTTGTTGCTCATTTTTGGCATTTAAGGGAGGAAAAAAATCTTGGTAGGGGCAATCTTCAAAATCAAGACCAAGGCCTGCATTCTGATGTTAGAGAGATTGCAGTAAATGTCCCAGCAACTTCAGGAATTTAAAGAATAGTTCCACATTAATGATAATATTACAGCTGAGACTGGAATTTGCCCTGTTAACTTTTAAATTGCCAGCATAGCATGTGCATATTTATCTCGATTAGGAGCTTCAGCTCATTCCTTCCATTAAGCTTAATGCAAGGTCTGGGTTCTATTTGTAGCAGAAGTCTTTCCCTGCCCTTTAGAAACCACACTGCGATCATTACATGGCTGCCCTTGGCAAATGTCTGACTCTATTGTCAATTGCTAAGTACGGTCAGCAAAACAATGAACATTAACTGCGTTAGCTGTGTCACACAGGCCAAAATGCCACAGCAGCAGCCAAGGGCCAAAGCTCTCCTGTTTAAGGAAGCACGCTCACTGCTCTCTGTTTGGTGCAGAATCAATTTTGTACAGGTTTGTGACAAACTGTAAGCGTGCTTTAACACTTGGGATCTCCCTCCTAAAAGGAGGCATAATGGAATCAGTTTGCTGTAGAACAAGAAAGAGAGGGACAGATTGTAGCAAGCCGGGAAGAAAAACAAGTTGTAAAAACAGAGCATTCAGGAAAAAGTGAATCCCAGACAGGAAAAGAGGCAGACACACCGGTCAGGCTGCTATTCAAACTGCGGAAATTTTACTGGTACGCAGGAATGTGTTGAAGGATTTAGGAAGGCTGCTTGAGGAGCTCATAAGCTAAGGAAAACCATTATCAAGCCCTGGCCTGATAAATGGTCAAATAGCTCTGACCATTCCATAACATAATGCAAAGTGAGCTAACGGGGTACCTAGCAGAAGATTACACCAGAGGAATGAGCAAAAGCAGCCTGCTACTGGTCTTTTGACATTCCTGAAAATCTCCAGGTGCTCCGTAAAGGTGTTTCTTAGAATGAAGATTGTAATTAGCTGATTCGAGGACATTTTAGCTGGAATTCTGTATGTCTTTTGGCAAGTCCACAGGGGAAGCACTCCAGCCATGAAGGCATGCAGCAGTACCCCAGCTGAACAATGCCAGGGTGCTGTTGCCTTCCCACGGTGTTGGGCAATCCTCCTTTCAAATGCAAAACCCAAAGATGACTTAATACAATAGCAGATTTTCATCCTCCAAATAAAAGATTTACTTGTGAGATACTCAGCCTGAATCACTCTCACAGTGCATCAGATCCCCGTAAGTCTTTTGGTTGCTTCTCCTTTTTGCCCACCTCTGCCCTGGTCTCATAATTTCAAGCGGTGTCTCCTCTTACCAGATGGGGGGGTAAGCTGAGTGCTGTGGAAAATAATAAGCCACATTGTAAGATGCTGTTCTTGATGGTGAAGCAGGTGCTAAAGAGGAGATGTGAATAAGGAACTGATTTGGGTGACTGTAGATATTTTCCACTTCTTCTGTAATAGAGCACTTTGAAACAGGTGCTGACAAAAAATGTCCCCTTGCTGAGGCCTTCCCCTTGGCTGGCAGTCTTGTGTAAGCTGGAGCTAGCCCAGAGTATCAGGTTGCTTTGTGCCGTCAAAAGCTAGAACTCTGATCTGGAAAGAATTGGAACTGCCTGTGGAATGCTGTCAGACACCCGATCGGATAGTGATTGCTAAGGAGAAGATGACCGTGTCTCAGATACCCGAGATCACTGTTGAGAAAACAAAGTTTGCAACCATGGCAGCGACTGTTGTCTCTTACATGTTAACCTTTACAGGGCTTGGCACCCTTAGGTGCAACGGAGACTGTTAGTCCTTCATGTGGTGAGTGAACAGGGCCAAAGGAGCTGAATACCTTGCACAAATCAGGGAACGGCTGCTCCTATTGCTGCCTTTGGGTGTATGCGATTGCACATACATCTGCAGACACATGCCTCATGCGTATGCTCTGTTATCTTCTGCCACCGTGATTTCAGTGTTACGATGATTCCTGGTACAAGCAAGAATGACACAGAAAAGTTGCCTGTCAGCTATAAGAAACAACTGAGGTCTCTTGGCTGTTAGCCTGCTTGGAGTGATTGCTGTCTTCAGCTATTTTCAATAACTTTAAAATTAGAACTAGTGACCGAGATAAGTCACTAAGAACATAACCCATCTTTTATATTTAGAAGGTTTATCCTTCCTCACTTGCTAAAAAATTGTGATTTCATATGTAGAGTCAGGCTGTGAAACTTCATCTGAGCAGTGATTGTACCCATGTACTCAACTGATCCCATTTCAGAATGGGCTTCTGATATTTAAACTATCCAAAATCTTTCTACGCCTAAGACACCTCTTTAAATCCTTATAGCATAAGTTCCGGTGGATTGCTTTGCTTTTAGATAAGTCCGTTTCAGTAGGTTGCGTTATCTCAAGGTCTGGAATGAGTATGCTTTAACACAAGTCTAGAAAGAACTTACGGGGTGAGGAGACCTCCCAGCTCATGCTTTGGCTTCTGAATGCACATGAGCACGCCTACCTATGTTATATGTGTGTGTCTTCGCATGGGGAAATGTGGGGAAGCAAACAGAGTTTGTTTTAATTAAATGACACATTGCGGTTGTTCTAGGACAGTTTTTATTTTCTTTCTAGCACTCCAGATTGATTCTAAAAAGTGATAACCACAGGTGCTTAGAGAACTATTGAAACACCATGAACAGAAATGCACCCATTGACCTTGGTCTTTGGGTTGTGGTTGTTGTGAAAACAGCTCCTTAATTGTCTGTACTTCAAAAGAAATCTTATTTTCCAATAGAGTTTTACTGAAAAAGAAAAAAACATCAGATATTGAGACAAAAAGCCCAGTGTGATTTTGGGCATCAAAATATTTTTAATCCCTCAGTTTAAGCTCTGAGAACGAGCATCATCTTTCCATCTTTGAAACACTGTTTTGGACTTCACCTGTGCTGTTTACATCCAATAACTGCTTTGAGAGGCTTTTGGAAAAATGACATATTACCATACTCTGTCCCACCTGCAAGAGATCAAAAGGAGATTTCAAGGGGAACAGAAAGGTGGGTGTGGTTTTAGACTATTGAAGTGTAAAGTTAATTCCTCGTTTGTGACAGAACAGAAAGACACAGAAAGTTGTACTTAATTTTTGTTTGGTGAGATTAGGAAATAGTTAACCACTGGTATCTTAACCTGCACTGTAAATTGTTCTAAATGCATGAATGAGAGGCAGTTTTAAAAAATACTGGGGGTTTGTGATTACTCTATGGTTACTGAGTCTGTAAGTAGCAAAATAATTTGATTTGCTTGCCTCTGCTAGACCTAGCTGAGAATAGGTTGGAAATTTTCTTTCAAAATACCTTTTGTCAGAAAACTGAAATTTTTGCTAGATAATTATTCTGTGAAAAAGTAGCTTTCTTTCATAATTAAAAATATTGTAAAAATTGAAATATTTACTATCCAGGGAAGAGTATTTTCCAAAGAATTACACTATTAGCACCATTAGCTAATAGCTATGAGCTGACAGCTTTAATAACCACACACATACATGCACGTATTATTTTTAGATAAGGTTTCATATATTGAGAAATTGCTTGTGAGCTAATGGTAATTGAATTCTGTTAGTATTGCGGACTGAGGCAGAACTCCAACTTTCCCTGCACATTCTAGATTTACAGGCATAGCTACTTGCTGCTGCCAGAGAGCTACTATTGACAACTGTTAAATGTTAAATTACAACTGTTAAAGAAGTTGTAGCTACCTGACATAAAGTGCTGACATATACAGGCTGTCTGATAATGGAAATTTGCTTAAAACATTTCTTTTTTTGTGAGACTTTTTTGTCTTGTGCTGCAGTAAAGAATATGTCTGAAAGCGTTCTGCATCGTGGCTCTGGCTAGTTTGACAGAAATGTGTGTCTCTTCCCCCATGCACACAGATTGGATCTGCTGGACGACTTATCAGCTTAATACTAATGCCCATCGAATTGCAGCCTACTGTGGGAAACGTTTTAGGTGTGATCATGCTGGTTATAAGTTCCTGCCCGTGAAAGTGCAGAAACTTGGCAGTTGGTCCAAGGGTGTATGTGCGTGCATCTCTGTCTCTATGCCCTCAAAGACCTTTCTCTTTGCCTTTTCCCTTTGCCTCCGTGTTCCCTGTGAAAGAGACAATCTATACGTATTTTGACATCGTCATCGTCCAAGCAACCCGGGAAAGATTTGGTAGTAACCCCTCCTCCCCTCGTTCTGTCTCTCTCTTATTCCTTCCCGATCCACATCTCTCATTTCTCATTTCTTCCTTCCCTGACACCGGCCCATTTCGTGTCGTCTCTCTCCCGCGGCCCCGCCCGCGGCCCCGCCCGCGGCCCATCGCGCCCGGCGCTCTCGGGCCCCGAAGTCCCCGGGCAGCTGCGAAAGAGCTCGTGGTCCCGCCCCTTCCCGCTGCTTGTTCCACCATTGCCGAAATTCCATCTCCCCGTTTGAAGGAGTGTACGCCGAGCGGGGCAGACCGAGCGGCCGCACCACCCGCGCCGATTCTGTGCGGCGGCTGCCCCGGGAGAACGGACCGTGCCCGGCAGCGCCGGGAGCCGGGCTACGGCCCCCCGGGACGCACAGGGAATTCTCGAAGAGAAGGAGAGGCGGCAGCGAGCGGGGAGACGATCGGGCGTCGGCCGCTAGCCGCTCTCGAGCCCCCTGCGTCCCTGCTCGCGTAGCCTGCGGTCCGCGGACACCATGGCCGGCGAGATCGAGGATCTGAACGGTCGGGAGGCGCAGACTGTCTGCGACGGCCTGGGACGCTACGAGGACACGCTGCGGGGCGCCGTCCGGGAGATCCATGTGGACATCCAGTTGTTCAAGCAAGGAGTAGGCCGCCAGGTGGAGGAGGTGCTACGCCTCGCCAGCCCCCTGGCACACGCCGTCTCTGAGCTGCAGCAGGAGAATCGGCGCCTGCGGGTACAGCTGGAGCGCCTGTCTCGGCAGGTGGAGGCCCTGGGCCGCTCGGCGGGGCTGCCGCACGAGTGGGTGAACGAGGCGGCTGAGAGCCCTCGGGCCGTGGAGCCCCGCTCGCCGGGGCAAGATTCGGCCGACGGCGCATTCTCCAGTCGTGCCAAGCTAGCGGTCACTGGCCGGAGCCAAGTAAGCTGCCAGGGAGACGGCTGGAGGGAGGGCCAAGGGCATGCATGAACGCATGCTTCATGGGTGTTGCCGTACTGCATTGGCATGGTGTAACGTTTAGGGACACTGCGTTCCTCTTTTGCGGCGTGGGGTCCAGTGGTATTTTGGGATGTGCTCTGAGAAATTATCTTGGCTGTGATACCACCTGGAGATCTACCTGATTATGGCTCTGTTTGGTCAGATTGGGATCTTGGTTAGAGTGGTATCAACTTGTGGGTTCCCTGTGGTTAGAAATAGGAGGAAATGGGGCAGCCTTGGCTATCGATGTACGTATCTAGGCAAATATTTTTGTATCTTTTCTGGAGTCTATTCTGGCGGATCTGTGTGCCAGCAATGCTTGTTTGCCAGTTGGCAAGCTCACAAAGAGGAATAGCTTAGCATGTAGCGGGCAATAAGGTTTTCCTAAGATAACATGCCGCAGTGAGACAGTTTTGCTGTCCAGCCGCTGTCCCTCACTGCTGCCTCTTGTCCTTGAGAGGCTGACGCAAGCTGTCGTGATGTCCGTGTCCTAAACTTGCATAAACGTAGTCATTCCTCCCGGTGATAAAACTTCCTGCGGTGTAATCGAGCATTGTAACTCGGTGCATAGAAACCCCAGTTAGTGTAAAGCTCTTCTGGTAGTGAGATGTTTTGTGTAATCCTTTTTCTGTGTCTGTCTGTGAGAAGAGTTGAGAGCTCCTGTGCAATCCTTGACGCCAGGAGAGCGCAACCTGACAGTACACTGTGTTTCGGTCACATAAAACTGGGGTGCCAGAGACTTGGCTTTCACAGATGACAGTCTGTTTCAACATCCTCTTGGTTAAGCATGTCTTGAGGAGGTTTTAAGATTGTTGAAGCTTAAAAAACTGGTCTGTGATCTATCCAGGCTTGAGGTTAAAGAAGAAAAGTTTGGAAATGAAATTCAATAGAATTGGTGGGAATGAGCAGATTCTGTATTGAATTCTAGCTCTCTTCATTCCTACTGACCTGTGAATGGAGGCATTGACCTTCCTACCTCTGGGTAAATGAAAAGATAAAACTGTTGTTGGATACATTGTAGCAACTGCTGCCTTTTCCCCCATGTGACAAAGGTAAGCAGCACGCATACAACTTGCAGACTGGTTCCTTTTTGTTCTGCAGAGCTATCCGCACTTGCTTGTAAGGAATAGAAGTAAGCTGAGTGATATGGAAGGGACAAGGGATTGTGGTCCCTCCCTCCGTTTCAGCCTCTCCATCACCACTGTCTGCATTGTGGTGTGTACTTCACAGTCTATGAAGTCTTGCATCAATGTTATGGCAATATCCAGCTTGAGGTGTCGGTCGAGTTCAAGCACAGTATGAGCTTTTGTTTGGGTGGGAACCTTCCTGCTTTGCTCTGAGGGTTCAGGGAAGATCACTTAAGTGCTGATCGTTCTTCAGTGCCCTCGCAACAATTTAGGTTGGGGAAGTTCCCAAGTTAGCAGAGCTGACCGAAAAGGAATTTCAGTACTGAGAACTATGGGAGATGCAGCTGCAGCTATACACATCAAATCTGTGCGGTGAAAACATGAATTTCTGGGTCAGGTTCACAAATGGCAAAAGAGCGAGCCTTGGTTGCTGTGTCAGTCACCCAGATTTTCTGTAATGAACACTGCTTCTTCAGTTGATTCCAATTTCTGGTTATATGACTGAAGCATTTGAAACAGAATACCATAAATGGCACGGTGTATGTTTTCAGCGTACCTGTGATAAAACTGGTGATACTTTTAGTCTTAGTAAATACTTCTATAAGTGTGAGATACAACAAGCAAGTAATACTGACCTGGAAATAGTAGCAAATCAAGATGTGCTCTTTTGCTTCTGAAAAGACTTATCGCTTGAGTTCCTTTTTACTGTGCAGTCGATGCAGCGTTAATTGGATACCGGAGATTCTGAGCATCTTTCTTATCTGAACCATTATTTTCTAATATTGCTAGATTATTTTTCATGGTAATTTCATTGGGGAAAAAAAATTAATCCAGGGAGTTCCAAGCATAGTTCAGAAGTAAAGACACAAATCTCCTCTTAATTATAATCTGGGCAATTTCTGCTGTGATGTTCTTGGAAGCTGTTATACAGCAGGTCCAAATGCTGGTTTAGGTGGAATCTTAAATGGCCATTTGCCGCTCTGATTCGAAGGTGAGTCTTTCTGTTATTCTGATACCAGACTTCAACTCAGCCCTCTTAACCAGGCCAGAATCTTGAGAGCTGCTTTCACAAAGGTGGGAAATAGGAGCTATTTGAAGAGTTAGTTTCAAAGATCTGGATCCTGGAGCCATACCTGTGCTACTGAGCATTTATAAAGGAAGAGCTTTGATCTTTTTTTTTTGTTGATCTGATTTTACATTTTGGCAGGAGCTTTATAACTTCTGGTTTTTCCGTAGGTTTTGTGATTGAGCATGATGCCTTTGTTAAGAGGGAGGACTATGAGTACTTTAAGAGTGTTCTGTTTTAAAACTGTCAGAAGAGTTTCTGTATAACTTGGACAGATGGCTGCAGAGAATCTGCCTGCAGTGGTCAAAGCTGCAGAGAGATAGATAGCTGGCTATGAACACCTATGAAGGCCTAAATAAGTACTACACATGGGGATCTCTCTCTGGTGACCTGATGACACCCAGCAGTGAGTCAGCCTGTGAGTAACTGCATAAGACATGCCTTGAGCATATGTAAATGACCTACGTATTTCCAGCAAAGATGGGCTGAGAGAGCTAGGGTTGTTCAGCCCCAGTGGTTGTTCAGTTCTCTTCTGGAGAACAGAAGGCTTCAGGGAGACCTCGTTGCAACCTTTGAATACTTTAGGGGGCTTACAAAATGGGGGGTTAGTGGCTTGTTTTTGTATGGGCAGATAGCAACAGGACAAGGGCAATGGTTTTAAACAGAAAGAGGGCAGGTTTAGATTAGATGTTAGGAAGAAACTGTTCACTCAGAGGGTAGTGAAGCACACGTTGCCCAGGGAAGTTGTGGATGCCCCAACACTGTCAGTGTTTGAGGCCAGGTTGGATGGACTCCTGAGCAACCTGATCTAATGCGTGGAATCTCTGAACGTGGCAAGGGGTTGAAACAAGTTGATCTTTACTATTCCTTTTGACACAAACCATTCTGTGATTCTATAATGACAGGGAGATTCCTTTCCAGCAATCACCTGGCATTACATACTCTATTTCTAAACTATCTCAACTCTTATGTTTGATAAAGGAAGTGTGTTGGTTTAACTTTTTTATTATTCTCTTATACTTCCTGCTAGTATCCTTTTAGAATGGTGACATTTCAAGATTGCCTTTATCCTTATCTAGATTATTTTTGTTGTTGTTTGTTTTGTTTTAATTCACTGTGATATAGCCACAGGTACCTGCTGAAGCTGCTACGGGAGAATTGTTCCCTCCTACCCATTTATATCCAAGCTTACTTCAAAAAAGGTTCTATGAGAAGTACTCCTATTGTTTTTCTTCAGTGCAATAGCTTTTCTAGTTTGTTCATAGTGTTCAAGGCTTTTTCTTCAAGTTGCAGGTTTAGTTACAGATAGAGAATACTTGTATTGTCTGATGGACAATGGCTTTCTAGTAGTAGAATTAAGGGTTAAATTTGGTGCACTTCTTGCTGGTGTCTAGAAGGCTTGTTTGCATCTCCTCAAAATTTCATCGTTCCCAGTATCTGATGTATCAATGATCTCTATATATGCAAGGAATAGAGTGTGAAATCTTGCCTTTGTGGCAGTCAGTGGCGATATTGCTGTTCATCAAAGTGAAGCATCAATTTCACCTGTCATATGTAAGAAGAAGGGGATGTACTTCTCCTAGATAAATAGCATTTCTAGAGCCAGTTATTTGTATTGTGACCCTTGTGGTAGCTGGTGGTTTTATGAAAGACACTGGAGGACTGAGATCTCTCATTTGACAGAGAGTAATATCATTTGTGTCTGTCATTCTTCCAGAATTTGACCATGTTGCAGACAAAATCCTGAAGACGTAACAGACATGCATCTTCGAGGTTCAGGGAGGAAATAAGAATTGTATTTCTTTTTTTTCTAATCTCGTGATCTGGTGCTTACTTGTTCTGAATGCGTTGAATTTTCACTACTGGCTTGCGATAATTTCAGCTTCTGATTGTGGCTCTCCAAAGTGAAACTGCTTTGCAGCAAAGGAGGAATTCCAGCAGCCCTACAACAGTTCTTCACCATGTTGTCATATGAGTTGTACAAATGAGTACTTCTTCTCATTTACTACAGATATATGTAGTTATCCCTCTGCTATTTATAGTCTACATAACCAGCACTGACAGAAGTACTAATGCTAAACACAGGGGTTTGTCAGAAGCTTGGCTTATCCAAAGCAGATTTTGAAAGTACTTCAGCCTGACACTACTAAAAGCACATCAGAATCTGATCCCAAATCTTCCCACTGTTCTGTCATCACATGGGCCTTCTTCCCCATCCTCCAGTCTGGTATCAGTTTCTTCTTTGGCACTGTTAGCCAAACTGTAGCAGTCAGGTTTTCATGAAATAAGGATTTGCATGAAATAAGTAATGCAGCACTTGTCATTGCATTAGAAAGCCAGTTCAGTGTGTAGAATGCTACATGACTCTTGGGAAGGATAAGGATTTGACACAGATACGTATGTATAACAGAAAGATCTTTGAATGTAGAAGCTGAAGAAGGAATAGAAATGATAGCAAGTTTTGATATAGAAAAAAAGTATTACTGAGCCAGCCTCACTGGGTAACTAGAAGGCAAAGAGCAAAGTATAAATCCACCTCAAACAAAAGATGTTTCTACCAAACAAAAGGATTTTCACAGACAAACAAAAAAGTCAATGTTGCAAGTAGAGAAAAGATCTCAAAATTTTCCACTGCAAGAAAACTGAAAAACGACTTTTAGCTTAAACTGTTACATACTAACCTTTTGTGATTGGAAATAGTGACATGAATATGGTAATGTTAGTAGTTAGGATAGGCTATAGGTAATAGTAAAGGTATTGATTGGTTTTCATGTATTAAGATGCTCTGTAATGAAAAGTATATAATGCATTGTAACCATAACTAGAGCCACTTCAGACGAACCCACAGCTGAGGCTGAAAAGGCTGTGAGCTGGGCTCTTGTCACCCACCACCCGTGAATTGCTATATCATTTGGATACAATAAACAGCATTTTAAGCAGCCCTGGAGCTTGGCATCCCTCGTTTTTGGCTCTTACACATGACCTTTGCAATGACCATGTCATTTGACAATTTTACTCATCCACACCTCCCCAGCTTATAAAAGTAGATTCACGTTTACAGCCTGCATATAGGCATTCTTCATATGCAGGTAATAATGGCTGACATGAATGGCTAAACAGTTCCAACTGCATATCGTGGGTACATTCTAGGGAGCTGCATTAGCTATGCTTTACATTTCAGTTCTGGATATGGGCAGTAATTGTTGTCTGGGATCTCAATTGCACTAAACGCAGCAATAAAAATTCTAAATCCCTGATTCTGCGTGGTTTCTATAATTAGTATTTGTTTGTCATTTTCTCTATCCTGGCAGCTTTTGGGTTTATTCATGCACATAAATACAAAAGTTTCAAAACAGCTTGGGGGTTTTAGAAATTAAAACACCTGGACACAACTACGCAATTGATGAAACTTTTTGTGGCCTGTGTGTTGGGGGATTTCTCTCTCCTAGTTGTAGCTGCTGTTTCTTGGAAACTGAACTGCAGTAATCGTGTATGCGTGAAGCAATTCCTTCTTCCTTTAGTTATGCAGCCAAAAAATCACATAATTCTTCATGGTTTAACATGCCCCTTCACCCCCCAAAAAACTCCAGCCCAACCAGCCCAAAAACCCAATCAATCAAACAAACAAAACCAAAAAAACAAAACCACAACCTCCTACTAAACCCACGAAAAAATTCCTTGCTGATTTTTCTGGAATTATATCGATAGATGTTATGAGGAGAATTTATGCTTTTCCCAGGAAAAAAGCTATCCTTACAGAAGTTACAGATTATAATATAGCTGTAATGTCCTTTGTAATGCTTGTACGGTATGTTTTCATAGTGTAATTTCTTTCTGCAGCAAATAGAAAAAAAATAATGCAGAGCATTATTCCACACAATCAGTTTCTCTGCTGTTACGTGAAGTCTTCTGTTTATCGCCATCACAGTGGATGGTGATACCTTTATCTAACAAAACATAAACTCTTAGGTGTTTGGAGTCCATTAGGGACAAGTGTGTGAAGATTGATTTAAGTTATGCATTGCCAATGCTTCATTTCCAGGCTCAACTCCTTATTTTGTGGTCATTTGCACAAGGAAGACCTGTTCTTGGCAGGTGTTTCTGGATAATCTTCTCACTTTTGCTGCTGTTTTAGATTTAGTTGTCATGTCTGTTGTCTGTTCTGACAGAGCGTAGACCTGGATGCCCACCAGAAACCTGAGTTTAGAAGAGTTTTTAGTTCTTCCAACATTGAAAATGGGCATCGATCTTCATCATCAGGTAGGAACAGGGCATGAAATGAAGTAGCACTGCTTGTAAAATACCTGATCTTGGCAGTCATAGAGCAGGTCTCACACTTTGGAAGGGATAGAATCTGCTATAGTTTCCAGATGGATATTGTCCAATACTTTATTTCATAATTAGGAGTTTAACTTTCAAACTTTGGCTTTACTGTTAAGCATGTACTATGGTGTTTCATAAATTAGAGTCTATTACTGCTGCGTTAACTTGAGACACAAGCGAGAAGCTGCTGTGCTGGGTGCCGTTGTAGTCTAGCATCCCAAAAATCTTACAAGTCACCCATCTGCTTCCATCATCCTTCACTGGAGGAAGGACTTACCATCTCCACTTCAGAGAAAGTCACACAGTCCTTCATAAAACCATGAAAAGAACAGAAATGTTGCTTCCTTAACCAGGGCAGGAGATTGGGGATGACGGCTGTGCAGAGGAAGAGCAGCTTACCAAATGCAAGTGCTAGTATATTAATGATCTGAAGACATTGTTCCTGCTGAGATTCACATAGAGTAAGTGTGATCGCTGCAAGGATCACTTGAGCTAGGGTTGTTTCTGCTGGTAAATAAATGGTACAATGGTACAATGTTTCACAGGAGAATAAGTCCAATGATTTGTAAAATAGAGTTGTTGCATGGACATTGGTTTGTAACAAAATTACAAACCTGCAAACAAATTTACTTCCTCTCTCCCATTTTTCATTCAGGTCAGGCAAAAGATGTCCATGAACTGACCTGTTTTCAGATGTCAGAATCATCTTCCCCTGAAGCCCATGCCCCTGCAGTCACCTTACAAATGCCCCACCTTCCTGTTACTGCAGTAACCAGGACATCTGAGAAGTTTTCAGGAGAGAACGTCTGTCCAACAGGAACAACTAATACATCTTCTTGCCTGCTGGGGCAAGGCAAGAGCACGAATATGATGGGAGTAAAATCTTCCAACCAGCCAGGTAAAAGACAGAAAAATAACTTGCTGAAACTGCATCCTGTTTCCTTTCTTCAACTGGTGCTATGAGTATTGTCCTGTGACCTAGTGGTAATTATGAAACCTTGCTTCTGTGGCTATATATCTCATTTTGGGACACTCCAATTTGGAATATTAGCTGGAGCTTTTGGCTGTAATGTCATATCTGAGGAGAGTTTCTGTGCCTAGTGAAGCATATCTTACAGCACAGTTACTGAATTCAATAAATTACTGAGTATCTTAAACATGCCCAGATATTTTCATGAAATTTGTTCACATTTTTTTGTGCTTTGAGACTAGATGCCCTGTGAGAAGTTAGGCAGATATTTGGCTAACAGGTTCCAATAGTCATTTGGAGGAAAGAATGACTGACAGCAGTCTGACACGTATACACACCTCAGTGATAGCAGAATCTTAGTTCTATTGAAACTGAGTTTAAAAAAAAAAAATCATATTCAAGTCATTCATCCTTGGCTGTGACACTTACAAATTGGACTATATATATGGGTGAGAAATTACAGAAGGAGACCAGATGGGACTACTAGCAAGAGATAGGGATTATTTGCAGATTAGTCTTTCAATTTTTATCTTACTTTTATCTTTTTACTCTTTTTTTTTACTTTTATCTTACTTACTCAGCTTTATTTTAAAGCTGAGAGTGTAGCAAACGCTTCCTTTGGCTTTTTTTGTGCTGATACAGTGAAGGACTGGAATTAAATTACAATGAGAACAATGGATTCATCTGTCACTGGAGGCAGATGTTCCTATCCGCATGCCCTCATGCAACAAAAATTAAAAGTGATTCCATGCTCTTTGGGGGACTCAGATCTGAGCGTGTAGTTTTGATTTGTAGGTACACAATAATATTAATATTGCTAACAAGTCTGTATGCAGACTCATAGAATCACGAACACTTGTTCTACTCCATCAGATTCTCAATCAGTTCAAAGCGAGGGGTACTTACCCTTATTGGCATGGTGATGTATGTGTGTACTGTTAGGCAGTCTCTGCAGTGGAAACCATGGGTGCTATGAAAATGTGGCAGGCAGCTTGAGCAGTGAAGATTTCAGCTGATCAAGTGAAAACTGTGACTGGACACAAGGTGGAAGGTGGTGTGCTTACCCATGTATATTGAAGCTAATTACTTTGAGCAAGATAGAAGTAAGGGGTCTCCTTTGTAATATGAATGTGGCAAAGGGCAAAATGCTTTAAGGATTTCTGATTTCAGTTGAAATAGACGAGTTGAGCTTTCTCCAAAAGTACCTCTGATTGCTGTCACCAAATTGTTGCTGTCTGCACAATGTACTGGCATTTTACAGGGGTCTCAATATATAGCCCTTCCAGAATAAGAATCACACTCTTCTTCATCTGAAAACATCTGAGTTTTGCATCAATATCTGGCTATTGTTAGTGATCACAAATTTGTTACACCTGTATGCTGGCATCTACCAGTGTGCTTTACATGAGAAGTGTAGTTGATCTGGATCACTTCTATAAGAAGAGGGAAGAATCCTGCATTTTCAGAGTGTGACTTAGGCAGTGATCAGGTTGGATTGCTTCTAAGATTCCAGTCCTTCGTGTATAGAAGGAGTGTTTATGCAACAAGTTTTGATTTTGGTACGTTAAAACTGGGCAAGACACTCCACTGTTTTGCATTTATAGAGCATAGCTGGAGTCCAGACCTGAGCCCTAAGAGGCAAAGCACAAAAGGTAGAACCTCAAGAGTGGAGAGAGGAAGATGCAAAGTTGGTTTTAAGCCACATTTGCAACTTAGAGTCTGTTCTGCTTTACAAACTAAAATGTCTTCCTGGTAGAAATTAGATAATTTAAATTATGCACTCTATTACATTTAACTCCCCAGGGCTCATCTGCTAGAATGACTTCTGCAAGCACCCCTTTTTCCTTTAACTGAAATTACAGTGGCAATGTGCCCTCCTGTAAGGTCTGCACAAGGGTCTGAAGTGATCTGCCCTTCTGAGTGCAGTTTTATCAAAGACCTCCTCTGAGTCCTTTCTGGTATGCTTACACTATTCCTGCTGCAGTGCAACCATTTTACAGAGGAATTGAACTGCTGGGGAAAATCCTTCTCCAGCTTGTTAGCTCATATGGAAGTTAGAGACCTGAAGCTTTACAGTGTGGTGGCTAAAAATCAGTGCATACCTATCCATCAGGAAAGCACATGAGGAAAGTTTCTGCACTAATGTACATTTTCTGTTTTTATATAGAGAATGCTACTTCTGTCACCAAGTCTGTTTCAACTGTGAACTACGGGCTGCGTAGTGGAGCCAAAACTGGTGAAAGGTATGCATTTTTCATGACATTTTGTTGGGCCATTGTAGTAAATATAGTCTCAACGGACAGGTGTTCTGCTGACTTGGAAAACAGGTGAGTCTCAGATGCTGTATTTTAAGCACTGTATGTATAATTGTACATTAATCTACTTGCCCCATAATCTCTTACATTAATGTAGGCAGTTCATTTAATGTATGTACTATGTCCATCAACAAGTAAATGGGCATATTCCTCTTACCCACACTTCTACTTTTGGGGAATAACCAAGCAATGACTACTGGAATAATCACACTATCTGTACTAAAACCACCCCAGTTATGTACTGTACTTAGTAATTTTCATTCAACACAGCAGTGCTTATATACATACCCTGAATGTTCTCAGGTGAAACCTACCAGGTTATTTATTGATTTTACTTCTCGTGGGAAATCAGCAACCTGCTGTATGTATCATGCTATATGTCTAGTTTGAGGACCATTCATTCCCCCTAAACCCTCTGCAGAACTTGCTCTTTTATGCCTCTGATTCCTGTATCAGGGCACTATCCTTGTTAATCCTCACACCTTTCTTTTCATGAGACATCCAGTAGGCTGTACATCAACATCACACCTGTAATTTTAGCTTTGGATAGCCTTAACACATTTGGCTCTTTTTTGGGGAGGGGCTTCTTCAGGCTGTCCCACCAGTGCACCGAAAAGCAAATGAGTCACTGGTGCAATATTTTAAGCCTGCTAAAGGCTGTGAGCTTTCCTCTGGGCTAAGTGGAACAGAGATGAGAAAGGACAACATTTTATAGAGCAGTTTCAAGTAGAACTAACTGTGGATTTTGCATTTTTGTAGCCTTAATCAGTAAGACTTTCAGTGCCTGATAGTGGTGGATTTTTGTTAAGAGGAGGAAGTTATCAGGTCCAAATATTTCCAAATGCAATGTTTGTCTTACTTCATTAATGCTGATGAAGCAGTATATGGCTCAAACAAACACAAATTAGAATATAATCCTATATTTCTCAATCAGATTTCCAGCTTGCAGTCAGTAAAGCAACACTGACAGAAGCTCAGAATTCTGTGCACTGTAAATAAAAATTTCAAAAGTACTTCCTGAATTACTCTTCAAATTTCATTTAAAAAATATCACAGCCTCCAGGAACCCTAAAGCTGGAAATCGAAGGGATTTAGTGCTCCTGGGTGGCCACAACAGGTTTTTTTTGGTCATATTTCTTTTCTTGAAGGTTTTTAATTGTTGCTCTGCTCAATGCTACGAACTGCTTGTGGCTTGTCCTCCTGTGTCTTATTTGTAACAGTGCCTTAGGGGCTTCTATACTTAAGTGCTGTTGTGTGCCAATAATAATTTTACTTTTATTAACATTGCTTTTGACTAATGCAGGTCCTCTTGAAATGGATCTTTCAGAAGGTTTAGAGACAACAGTTGAACCTTTATGCTGTCTCTTGTCACTGCAGAGAGTTACTCTTTTGTTTACCACATACTTTTCGTCTTATGGTTCTCCAGTGCCATTGACAGTTACTGTGATGTGAGCCCCAGCTCCCACTCGCCTCCTCCTGCTGTCCATCACCAAGTTGAAAGGAGACGAGAATTGGTGCGGTCTCAGACGCTCCCACGGATCACAGGAACGCAGGCCAGGAAAATGCTATTTGAGAAACTTGAACGTGATGATGGAAAGTACGTCACAGTCCTTGTCTCTAGAATGGTTTGTTAATGGGAAACTAATTTGTCAGTTATTACCGGCAAAGTACAGCTGGGTGGGAGAACTCTCTCAGTGTCCTCAGAGCTGAGGGACAATATGAGGTAACTTTAAGGTTCACTGACTTTACAGTCCAAGCCTTGGAAATTCACAGCTACAGACTCCTCTGATTTTGGAGTTGTTCAGCTGAAGCAGCTGGTGTCTTTTATCGGGAAAGAGTTCTGTGAGAAAGCTGTCTTCTCCATCATTATAGAAGACTGTGAATATAGTGACTTTCTGTTGCCATTCATTGAGGATCAAAAGTATGGGTGCTTCTTGATGGGAGTTTGATTTAAATAAAAGAGGGCTTGGAATTCTGGCTTTAGTTTAATAAAAGTTAGCTTTTCTTGCAGGACCAACAAGTCGAAGTTTCAGTAACATTTTTCTCAAATATCACCTGGACAGGGGCTGACCTGGGCAAAGTTGCATAGATGTTCCTGACAAGTAGGTTTAAGTTTTTCTAGAATGAAATTTAATCTGGTGTCTGTTAATTTTCCAGAGGAAAAGGAGAATCCAGAGCTAAGCTGAAGAGGTCGCTGAGTTTTGGGGTTGCCAGCGCTAGCAGCATTAAACAAATTCTGTTAGACTGGTGTCGCTCAAAAACCATAGGATACAAGGTGAACATGTGCTAGCCCTTTCATATCTCTCTTTTTTTTCAGGAGAATTTGCCAAAATCCATGCTCAAAAAGTGAATGCAAAATATGCTAGAGAATGAGTTCATTTCCTCAAGGTCATAAATTTTTGTGTGGTTAATACCAATATGGTTTGCCTAGACAGCACTTCAAGACAGTCAGTGATTGCATGAATGAGATTCTGTATGTCTATTAAAGCAATGCATTAGTGTTTTTCTGAAAGCCTACCTTTTTGTGCTTACAGATATAAATTTATACACAGACTTTTTTCTTAGATGCAGGCTGTAATTTTTGCATTCACATTATACATGACAAGTTCTGAATACATGGAGACTGTGGTCATTTTGCTACATGCAGGCCAAAGTACTCTGCTAGTATTTGACATATGAATTTGTAGTAAATGGTTGAGTTTGAATTACACTGTAAGTTTTTATGAGGTAGCATCAGTGTAACTAAAAGAATACAGAAGTTGAGATTTTATTCATTTTACCTGGCCTTAAACTGCAATTGTCAAAGAAATACAGATTTTTTTTCCCTAGGGATTGTGTGTGTGTAGTATGTTTTTCAATGTTCCTAAACTTGCATAATTATTACTAAACTGTATATTATAGTATAAATAAGCAGAACTAATTAAAATCATGGTTAATTGCTTACCAGAAAAGCTGGGGCTTGAATTTTATATTATGGGAAAGCAACATGAGACAAGAGCACAGATATGTTTCTTTTCACTGTGGCATTTGAAAGTAACAATAAGAATTTGTTTTAAGAATCAGGTTGTGCAGTAGGTATGATTTTTCTTGTATTTCTACCTATCTGTGTGTAAACAGATATTGAATTGGGCAAAGCACGCAAGCATAGTCTTTATCTAGTGTTATTCACAGCCACAAAATTGACTGCCTTTCAATTTTAAATCCTCCATAGGGTGATTATGGTTATATATTAGCAGTGTCCTTAGTTTCCACAGATACTGAGCTGGTACACTGGGCCTGCTCCAGAGCTCACTGATCTTGATTAGATTCTTCACAGTATTTGCAGTGGGCTTTGGATCAGGGACCTTGGCTATGTGTCTGCTTTGCATCTGAGTATTTCAGGAAAAATGCTTTTATTGCTGAGTGTGACACTTTTTTTCCTAGAATGTCAACAATGAAATGGATATACAAAGAAGGGAAGAAAAAAATAAAGCCTTTGCTCTTGCTGGTGGGAAAGAAAGATAGGAAACTGCATTGAACAAAAGCAGCTGCTCTTATTTGTTCCCCTGTGCTGCATTAACGTATATTTTTTCATCATGACAGCACATTGATCTCCAGAACTTCTCCTCGAGCTGGAATGATGGGATGGCATTCTGCGCTCTTGTGCATTCTTTCTTTCCTGAAGCTTTTGATTACAATAAGCTTGACCCAGCTAATCGCAAGCAGAACTTTGAGCTGGCCTTCACAACGGCTGAGTGAGTACACTAGCTCTCTGGGAAGTGCTTCCAGTTCAAGTCTAATGCGCCTGAGCAGCAGTGAAGAGTTCAATTATTATTCTTTTAGACTCTGTATTGATGCCTTGAGAGGCTACTTAGAACAGAGGCTAGACAGTGTTAAAGGAATAAAGTAGATATTTATTATAAAGTCCTTCAAGGGATACACCTTGGGCCGGACAAGAGCCTGGCTTAGGCTGCACCTAAGATGGACAATGGATCACATGTTTTCATACTTTTATAAGTTTTGGTCTATTTACAGATTGGGGTTAATTGTCCAATTACAGCTTCAGGTTATGAAGTCCCTTCTACCCAGTTTGCTCTCCTTAGTTTGCTTTTGTTTATACTTTTGGGGCCTGAAGCTGCGCTGGTGTCCTTGGTTCTCGGGCTGGAAAAGGATTGTTTTGTCTAACTAAGTTGTGAGGAGAACTTGCTAACACCTGATATGAAGTTCAGAGTTATATACTAATGCAGTACACAATCTGGATAATATGAAAGCTAAAACTTAAGGCATCAGTATCACTAGCTTGCATGTATCATGCCAAAAAAGATAAAGTTCTGCAGAGAGAATGCACAGAACATGGGAGACTTCAGCTCTGACTGTACGTTGTTTTGCTTGAAAAAGAATGGTTGAATTCAGCGTAAATAGAGATCAAGGCTGAGAACTTTCTCAGCATCTCAGCCAGCTAACTGCATTTCTGAAAATAGGCAGAGCTAATACCCTCAGTCACATTATCCAGATTCTTTTTTATGCCGTATAGCAGGCAATTAAATGCTAACTTATTTGGTATCAACATGATTGTTACGGTAAGACCTGTCCATGTGGTATGCAGCTTGGTTTTCCAAATTATAACAGGCGGTAGGAATACATGACTATGGATTTGCCATTGGCCATTCAGAAAAAACCTTTCAGATTTCTTCACATAATGTTGTTTCTCCTTATTATAGCCTCCAACAAACAAATTAATTTGGGGATTACAAGTATCTTTTTAAGTACACATATATGTATGTATCTAAAAAAATACTGTTGCTTCTCAGTGAGTTGAAGGAGATTCTGTGATACTTTTAGATGATTGATCTCTAGAAAACTATCTACAACTCTCCAAGGAAAGCTGCAGTGTTCTTCTACCTCAGTTTATGTAAACAGTAAGTTTAGGGGAGAACAAAAGACACCATGAACACAACACTAAGAAACACTAGGTAAGAGGTATCTACAGAAATTACTATTCATTGCTATGATTGCCTTTAAACTGATTTATTCAAGTGCCAGTAAAGACTATTTTCTCAGTTATTGCTGTTCACCCCAGCACCAACTGTGCTGATAAAATTGATTCCCGCCCTTGTGATTTTTCATCTTAAGCCTCTGTTGCTTTCTGCTGCTCCAGATCACTCACATCTTGGAGATATGGAGGTGGTGGAGAACAAACAATTCACAGCCACATGAGCCTTCATCAGCACATCTCATCTCTTCCTTACTTTTTCCATTCTTTTGGAACTCCCTATATGTTAACCAAAAACTGAAACATGAGCAGAGTAGAGCAAGATTGGGCTGCATGCTACAGATAAAATGAGTGTGAATGATAGAGAAAAAAGCCCCCCCCACTCCAGAGCTTTACATCAGATCCCAGTATAAAGCAAGAGAGACAAAGAACAGGAATACTCCATGTTCATAAAAATAGCTATGTTTAGCCTGACCCTGCTCAATGCATTGTGAAATGAAATTCTGCCCATAAACCCCAGGATTTCTTAAGTGTTTCAGTGATGCTCAAATCAGAGCATCAAATGAATCTTGGAAGCAGTTACGTAACTCTTGATTTGCTATATCTGTTTTATTGTTAATACAGGAAAATGGCTCACTGTGACCGTCTGATAGAAGTGGAAGACATGATGGTGATGGGTCACAAGCCAGATCCCATGTGCATCTTCACCTATGTCCAGTCTCTGTACAGTCATCTACGACGTTTTGAATAAAACCATCGACACCTCTCCAGCCAGAAGGGTCAAGTACAGTGTGCTAATCGGAAGAGTGACATTTTGCAAATAGAACACAGTATTATTTATTGCTTTTTACTGTTCCTTTGCTTACATTCAGCTGTGTTGATGGCTGACTGAAGTATTGCTGAGTAGTGCCCTGAGGTGTTGATCACATCATCATGTCAGTAATACAGAAATATGGCTGAAAAAGACAAAAATACATTGGCAAAGGCAAATACTGTCATTTTGGTGCTAGTAGTAGATTGGACTTTTAGGACTTTAATGTTTAAACATCACAGGAAGCAAATTTGCTTCTCCTGTCTCTGTAAGGATGGGGACAATTTTATGCAGCAATTCTGCTATGAAGGTGTTCCATCTTAAAATGCAGGTAAAACTCCAGAAGATAGCACCTTCAGTTTTACTTCTCTGTTGAGCATAGTACAAAAGAAATAGCAGATGGACAAGAAAGATTCTGTTTAGCAAATAATAACCTCGAGTACTCAACCACTAGTGCAATAATTCCTCCCCCCAACCCTACCCGTCCACTCCAGCATACACACACAGAGATCAAACAGGCATTGTTTTGTTCTCTTAAAGCATAAAGAGAGCATAACCTCTTGTCTGATGAGTGTGGTGACAGACTACTATGTTACATAATGGCATTTGTCTGTAATGGTCAAATCTAATTTCATTTGCTGACAGGCTTGCTAAAACCTCTGCTGGCAGTCCTGGATTAATTTCTTGATAAGAACAGCAATAGCTGGGACAGTTCTTTGTCTGAGATTGTGTGCTTGCATTGTTTAGGATTGCTGGAAAGGTAGGAGCTAGCAACATATAAAAAACTTTGAACAGTTGTAATAGAAACAAGCCTGTAATGTGCTTTTACCTGGACTCCAGACGAGCAGCTCTTCAGTGTGGACAGGAGTAAACCCGTTACAGCTTGTTCAGTACAGATACTGATTCTGAGGTAGATGAACAATAGACAAAAAATATGAAAGATGTGGGATTTTTTAAGTAGTTTCAAAAGCCTTGCACTAGTTTCAGTTTTCAGTTAAATTAGCATTAAAATCACAGTACAGTTAGATTACTCCAGATTTACTGGACTAAAAAAAGCCTTCTAAAATTATTTCTTCCATAAGAACAGGCTCATAGAAAGTAAAAACTGAAAGCAACAAGTCCTCTGCTCATGCTAGATAATGTTTTTTTAACCTGCCCTTGTGCATTTTGTAGATATTTAGAAAGATTAATTTGGTTCTGTATTGATGACCATTTATAATAAATTATGTCAAGCATTCTTCATATTTATTGCATCTTTTTAGACTGATGTGACAGCCAAGTAAAATCAGTGAAAACAACAAAAAGCTTTTACTTAAAAGATTTTTGTTCCAGTCGTGATTCTGTGTGCTCTGAATTTCAGTTTTAAAAGTACATAAGTTCAATTGCATTTGAAACATGATTTTAGTGCAGTCTCCCTTTCTAGTCAAGTTTACTTAAGAAACCATGAATGAAGCAGCCTCTTCATTAGCATTAAAGTGTCATTGCCTTCAGTTTTTTACTTTGTCTTGATCGGCTATAATTCTGAGGAGTAAGTGTGCACCTGTAGCTCTACCAAATGCACTGTAAGGATAAACCCATTGTATTTATGTTTTGGAGGAGTTTGGATTAAGCATGATGAAAAGTCTGTCCAAAACTGGCATGCACAATGCACTTATTTACATTCTTACCGTAGAATACTTTTTATTGAGTAGCAGAGCCAAGTTCCGTCATAACTACCACAAGAGAGTCAATACTGCCTTAATACATTGCATTCCTTCACAGTCTGAGGTCATGGATGATTTTACTGTGTGATGTGAGTGCTGAAGACACAGGTAAGTGCTTGGCCAATTTAGGTCTAATAGCATATAATTATATAAAGGAAGTTTTAGACTGTAAAATTATTGCAAATTCACCAGGGTGAATCTACATCCTTTCTGTAATTCAGTTTATTTTTGCAGCTACATGGTAGGTATTTTTGTACACGTTTGCTAAACTTTTCCCACTTAAGAGAGGTGATGGTAAAGATACCTAGGACTTACCAGCCACCTGTTTGCAAGTGGAAGACTCTAAGCTGAGTTGATCTATTGATGGTTTGTGTGTAAGGGTTAGGGAGATAGTGCTATGACATACTTTTAGAAAAACTTACAGCTTTGTGTGTTAAGAGGTCTGCTCTATATGAATAACCTCAACTATTTGATTGTATGATCCAATTGAAATTAAAGTATATAATATATGCCCCAAATTGATTTTTCAGTATTGTTATTTTTTCAAAAATGCAGAGCACATGTATATATGACAGTGTGTTTAACATGAATGATAAAAAGAACAATCTGTTAAGTTGGCATAGTATATATTTTACACAAATGGACTGTTTCTTAACTTTTCTAATGCTTCTGTATTATATCTAAAAGTATATCTATGGTTGTTTATTGGCAACTCGATCCTAGTTTTAAGGGCTAAATCGGTTTGTTCTGTGCAATATTCTCAAGATAATGTCAGCAGAGACATTCATCTACTTTTTAAGACTATGCTTCTTACAGCAGGAAAATCCTTCTTTTTTAAAGTACAATAACTAGATGAATGTCTTTCATCACTTCTCCCTTTGTGTGATATTTCCAATAAAGTGTTTAATCTAAACATATGCTCAAACTCATGCAAGCTCTTTTATACGTATTTTAAATATATGTAATTACATATAAAACTATCCCAAAGGTTCAACCTTGTATCGTTAATTTAAACCCAGCCTGGCTTACAAAGGTAGTTCAAAGTGTCCAAAATAAAAGATGGGATTGCTTTGTGTAACATGCATTTAAAAGCCTTTTTTTTTGCTTATGCTAAAATACATCTATGTCTGCATAAAGCCTCAGAGAAGTTAACATAGAACCACAAAATATTCTGTGCTGGAAGTGACCCACAAAGATCATCAAGTCCAACTCTTCAGTGAATGTCCCATATGGGGATCAAACTCACAACCTTGGTGCAATCATAGCGCCATGCTTGAGCATACTGATCTAATAGTTTGGACTGGAGGGGTTTCATCACTGTGGTGGTGATCTAGTCCAATTCCCCCCTGCAATAAGCAGGGATGTCCAACCCAAGCCATTCAATGCTTCCATGATTTCAGCTTTATCAGAGTGCTCAGAACCAAGCCCAAAACTGATCTGGAATTTTTCCAGAGATGGGGATCTCTCTAGGCCACCTGTGCCATAAAAAAATTTCTTCCTTATATCTAGTCTAAATCAACCTTTTTAGTTTTAAACTGTTAACCCTTGTCCTATTGCTACAGGCCCTACTGAAAAGTTTGTCCCCATCTTTCTTAGAAGCCCCCTTTAAGTACTGAAAGGTTGCAGGAAGCTCTTCCCTGAGTCTTCTGCAGGCTGAACAGCCCCAGCCCTCTCAGCCTTTCTTCATAGATTATTTTGGACACTAGTGGAACACCAGAGTTCAGACCTATTAGGTTAGTCTGCTTTGCAATGTCAGCAACATTCAAAGAAGGCAATTAATGAGGCTGCAGTATGAGCTCAACCTAGAGAGGTGTCCTACTTAACAGAGTGGCAGCAGTTCTGCTTGCTCATAGTTTGATTCTCTGATGAATAAGACTATCTATGGTATTTTTCATGCACCCAATAAGGAACATGGCAACATACTTAATTTAGATCTAGTCTCATTAATGCTGGTTAGTTAGATTCTTCCACAAAAATGTGAGACTTTTCCAGACTGAGCACTTGGCCACTTCACAAATAGTGAACCCATTTTCTACATCCAGACAAAATTCACAAGGTGAGGAACTGCTCCTTTGTAAAATCCCTTTAAAGAGCATTACAGTGGAATGTGGTAAGCGAGCTGGTGTTAGCTTACCCCTACTGCTGTGAAGGAGAGGACTTACTTTTTCATCCAGCGCTAACTGGGCGCTTAGGCGTGGTGTGGGAAGGCGCTGCCGGTGCCGCCGCCGCTGTTCGTTAGCGCGGGGCTGCGGGCGGCCGGGGGCGCGCGGTCACACCCGCGGTCCGTGCGCGCAGCCCCGGCGGCCCTGGAGCCGTTTTCTGCACCTGTAGGTCGGTAGAGAAAATCATCTGAGGTAAAACTAAAGCTTTCTTTTGTCGCATAATTCGTATTGCGGGATCAGTTGTAAATTTCATATTAACAGTTTAAAAGGAAATTGTCTTTTACGGTAGCTGATATTGATGAACGGATTTGTGGTTCGTAGCTTGAATTTGTGGCAGTGTCGCTACAGTCTGGGGCAGGACAGAACGAGGTACTGGGTTTTCAGAACAAAACGGCATGAAGTCCCACTGGTCTCACAATAACGTCGTGGAGAACCACCACTGGGCGGTTCCTCAGCTTTCAAGGTGATTGAGCACATTTTCCGAAACATGACATTCTCTCTTCTCTGCTTCTTTTTGACCCATGTTACTTTTATATCTTTTGTGATTTTTTGAACATTGTCGGGTTTCACTCTGAGAAAGTCTGCGCTGATCTAAACTAACAGAGCTATATGGAGGGGACACAACTGTACCATCTGATGTCATGCCCTTTATCTCATTCATCTCCTCTGTCTGGCTCCCAGTATCTTTTCTCCCAGGAAAGAATGTTGTTGACACAAAGATGGAGCATACTACTAAGGATATGTTATGACTGACATTTTAGATAGCTAGATACTTAAGACATCTCACTTGCTTTCACAATCTTTATGCATTTCTACAACAAATCAATTCAGAATTACTGTCTGCAGCTCTGGGAACTATCAAAAAATAATGTGTGTTTTTATCCAGATAGATCCTAACAGGAAATGGGTGAAATGAAGCACAACTGGATTTGTGTACTGTGCCTCCTCCGCGCGGTGCCACAGCACCAGGCTGCTAGCAGTGGTAGCGACTGCAGTTCCCTAAGCAGCCACTTTGCCTTCTGTGCAGTTCGAGCCACTTTCAGCAGTATTTAATCGCACATTAAAAAAGAAACTGTGCTGCTGCTGAGGAGATTGAGGCTGAAAGACCCTTCCCACGGAAGGGGAACTGAGGATATGGCACTTTGCCAGGCTTTGAACTTCAGAGCAGTTCAGTCGAGGAGCAACATCAGTGAGAAGTGTGTGAGGGAGAAGGAAGTTGAGTTAAGGGTAGCTGTGCTGAATGAGTGTGGGCAGAGCTGTGTGTTGCTGAGGATCTTCTGTGTGCATTTGGACTCAGCAGTTGTCTCAGGAACACTGGATGAGCATACTGCAAGAATAGGAAATTTATAATCAAACTACTTTGCACAAATTTGGGGCATTGGTTTCATCCTCCATTAAACAAGTGTCCTCAGTATGCTTTGTTCTTTGTTCTACTTTGGTTCTTTCTGGACTTTCCCATTTCCTCATTTGCCTGCTGAATTTTCTCCTTCAGCTTCTCAGGTCCTGTTTTATTTTGGGGTTTGTTTTTTGTTTGTTTTTTTGTTTTGTTATGTTGTGTGGTTGTGGATTTTTTGATTGGTTAGATTGGGTTTTCTTTTGTTATGGGTGGTTTTTTTGTTTTGTTTTGGTTGGTTGGTTTCTGTTTGTTTGTTTTGTTGTTGTTGTTTTGGGGAGTTTTTTTTATTTGGTTTGGTTTGGTTTGGTTTGGTTTGGTTTGGTTTGGTTTGGTCCCCCCCCCCCTAATTATCATAAGAAAAAAATCACCTAATCAAGCATTGGAACAGGCTGCCCTGGGAAGTGGTGGAATTCTCATCCCTGGATGTGTTCAAAAGGCATGTGGATTTGGCACTTGAGGATATGGCTTAGTGGTGAACACAGCTGTAGTGCATTAACAGTTGGACTCAATGATCTTACAGGTCTTTTCCAACCTTAATAATTCTATGATTATGTTTATTTTTACAGTCTAGATTTTATCCATCTCTCCAGAAATATTCTTGAAAGGTGTGTACCTTTCTCCAGCCTCTGTGAGGCTATTTATCTTTTATATTTGTTCACTTTTCTCTTGTTTTCTGCGATTGCTTGTTTAGTAATTCTATCCTCCTCTGCAGGTCTCCTTTCCCTTCTCCTTCCTATTGCATAGTCCATCTTTTCCTATCAGTTCCACTACTCCAAAATTCCACTCACAAATTCCTCTGTTTCTATATTCTCCAAACACATCAGCACATTCTTCCCTACACATCAGCAAAGATTTGGGGAGCTTTGAGCAAGAAATCTTTTCTTTGCATATCAGTGTCATTTTGCAGGTAAAAAGAACAAGATATTTCTCACCCTTATAGAGCTGTCTTCTTCCCTTCTGGCTTCGGCAGCAATATAACATAACATAACATAGTGCAATGCAACGCAATACAATGTAATAGAATACAATACAATACAATATAATACGGTTAATATAATATTTCTGTTTTCAGGTTCCAAATTCCAAGAACTGACCTACATTATATCCAGAAAATTTCCAAATAATAATGGCCAGACTGCTGCAAGATCCATGTAAACTTCAACCCTCAGAATGGTACACCACAAACAATATGCAGCATGCCAGTACAGAGTCCCAGAAATCCAGGTCAGAATGCACGATATATGAAAGTCGGAGGCTGGTGGATGAAATAGAAAAGACAACTCAAAAAACCCAAAGTGATGTCAACAAGAAATTAGGTAATCCCATGTCTTCTGCAAGGGTCAAGATGTGTTGTTTGAGCTAAATGTTCAAGAAGGACTTAGCAAATTGTTTGATAATGAACAGGAGCATGTGTCAATGCAAAGCTTGTTGATGTCATGGAAAAATCAAAAACATTTTACAAAATATTTTGAGGCAGACTCTTTATTTTTGTAAAAAAAAAAAACAAAAAAAAAACCCACAAAAAGCGAACCAAACCTCCTGACACAGGGTTGCTAAACTGTTTCCACACAGCCCACAGCACTATAGGCATTCTACTCCAGAATAAGGCTATTTTTAGCCACATCTAAGATGTGAGCTGTAAAAGCCAAAATGAGGAATATGGGGCTCCTTAAAATGCTGTTTATTGTATCCAAATGATGCAACAATTCACGGGTCGTGGGTGACAAGCCCACAGCCTTTTCAGCCTCAGCTGTGGGTTCGTCTGAAGTGGCTCTAGTTATGGTTACAATGCATTATATACTTTTCATTACAGAGCATCTTAATACATGAAAACCAATCAATACCTTTACTATTACCTATAGCCTATCCTAACTACTAACATTACCATATTCATGTCACTATTTCCAATCACAAAAGGTTAGTATGTAACAGTTTAAGCTAAAAGTCGTTTTTCAGTTTTCTTGCAGTGGAAAATTTTGAGATCTTTCCTCTACTTGCAACATTGACTTTTTTGTTTGCCTGTGAAAATTTCTTTGCTTGGTAAAAACATCTTTTGTTTGAGGTGGGTTTATTCTCTGCTCTGAGTAATAAAACCCCTTTCTAATTCACTTGCTCTTTGCTCTCTAGTTATCCAGTAAGACTGCCTCAGCAATTTTTTTCTTCTCTATCAAAACTTGCTATCATTTCTATTCCTTCTTCAGATTCTACATTCAAAGATCTTTCTGTTACACATACATATCTGTGAGACCTTCCTGTCAAACCCTTATCCTTCCCAACACTGAGCTACAGTCCTCTTGCTCATAAAATGGGCACATATTAATGCATGTTTGTTATTTTGATTTTACAGAACAGAGACGGGAAGAAATAAAATTCTGGAAGCAAGAATTAGATAACAAGCTGGAACAAATTGTTCATGAGACGGAGATACTGTTGACTTTCAAGAATAGGCTGGAGAGAGCTTTGGAGGGCTGCAAAGAGCCACTTGTCATTGCCCAAAAGTGTCTCCTGTACAGGTGAGCATTCAAGGAGAGGGAAAAAAAATCTACGTAATGGATCTTTAACAAATAAGAAAAAAAGATTGCACACTAAAAGCCCATCACTCTTTGCAGTGGAGACACAGTCTGATTTGGGTGTTAAAACACTGGGGAAAGTGGAACTTCATCATCTTCTGTTAGATGCAGGCATTTGAACAATGTGGCTGACGGGTTTTCCCTTTTTCATGTAGGCAGAGGCGAGTTGGGATTGACTTGGTGCATGATGAAGTGGAACAGGAACTGGTGAAGGAAGCTGAAGTCCTCCAGGGGGTTATTGCTTTACTTGGACGTACATTGGAACAAACAAATGAGCAAATCAGGTGTGGAGGCAAAGAGCATAATAGAACACTAATTAGATGAAAAATAATACAGTCATAATACTAAGAAGTTGTAGGGTCAGGCTGAACACAGATCCTAAGTTCTCTTCAATGCTAAACAGTAGCAGGAGGTCAGTCCTAATTCAAACCACTCCATCAGTAACGGTCAGGCGTTCTGCATGTAGAGTACAAAGTACTTGCACTTGATCCTTGGTCTTCTCATGATCCAGTCCTATGCCTTTAATTTCAATGAGAATTGTACTGTCAATTTATAGAAAGGCAGCTTCATTTTGTAGATTTTGTGACTTGACAACTAGGAGTTCATACTTGAAGATTTCTGTAACAGCGTTTGAATTACCTACTGCATGTATATACAGTATATATGCATATATACTGCATGTGCATATTAAGGACACCTGTGACCTCTGGTGTCCTTTGTCTAAGGACACTTTTTCTTAGACTTTGGTTGTTTCTTCTCCTAGACGAAACCGTTCAGCAAAATACAACCTGGACATGGATCTGAAGGACAAATTCACAGCTTTGACGATTGATGATTACTGTGCTAGCTTGACAAATGACACTCCTTATATTATCTATGCTGATAATGCCATGAAACTAGAAGGAAAGTAAGTGGTTCTTTAGTTCAACAAACATATGATAATTATATGGATAATATGGACTGTCCCAGTAATAGCAAGATCAGTTTTGTGTAAAACAGGCTTTATCTTTTTGCCACCTAATTGTTTCTTATACTTCTGTCTGTCACTTTTGTATCTGTATGTCTGTGAAATAAGCCACAATAATATTGCTCCCAGTGAACTGCACTTTTTAAAACGTTTTTGAAGCTCACAGTTAGCTAAAGAACAAGTTCACGTATTGCTTAAACAGAGAATAGATTTACTGATCTTAACTTCTTTCCTCTCCCATGGTGTCCCAGTGGGGAGAATGATGGACTGGGACACATGAAGTGTAGACTCAGTTTCTGACTCAGACAGTAACCTGCCAAATGTGCCCATTCTGCATGGGTTAGTTAGAGTGAAAGGTTTACATGGAAAAATAGCTACCACATAAAAATAGGCTGAAAAGAGGAACTATACTGAGAAAGTAATGTGTGCGAGAGCCTCAGAAAGTCACTGTTGCTATGCAACAGCTGGCAAACTTGCAACACCAAGAGGCTGACAGCTCTTGCTGCCTGCATGTTAGCATGCATCATCAACAAGTTATGGAACTCAGTCCCCACCCAGGGTGGTGCTGCCTGCTATGTGCAAATGACAATTAAAACTTTATATATCCACTCAATGAAACAAGGAACAAACCCTCTGAGGAGCTTTCCACACCCACCTGCAAGCCACAGCTACACAAGGATGACCCTCTAATTCTGGGGATGCAGTTGGGGCTGGGCTTCTCAACTACTGTTCCAGGCTGTAAATGTACATTTACAGGTCGTGTAAATGTCATATAGATGAACTGTGTGAGCGAATAGGTGACTGTGTTGTGTAAATAGCTACCTGCTATTAATAGTTACAGCTTTATTAATGAAAGATGTTCTAAGAAATATTGGTTATTATGTGTGTTTCCCCTCCACGATAACTTGATCCTTCACCAGGGGAAAAGAAAGTTATAGCAAAGTTGCTCTATGGCTCAAACACATTTGTTTTCATCTGACTCTCAACTTCATTAGATGAAGATGAAACTTCACTACAAAATGATTGTGACAGTGTTTCTTTTGTATCTGTAGAACTCCCAGGACATGTGGCACTTACTGGAACATGCAGTTAAAAGTATTGCTTTGTTCTTGATTTTGTGGCATAATTACAGATTTATGAAGTCATACAGGGCCTGCTGCTCTCTGTTGGTGACCATTTATTTTTAATCTCTTTCAGTTTTGTTAGCCCTGAGGACTGGACAGATTTCTCAAACATAAATGTTGAAAAGGCTGACAAGCAGCGAAACAATTCTTTGGCCCTGAAGGCACTTATTGAAGGCATCCTCTCACAGACAGCAAATGACATGCGCAAGCAATGTGAGACGGTGAACACTGCTTTTAGAAATAGGGTGAAGGAAGTCAAGGATGCCAAGCACAAGCTAGAGACACTTCTTGCAATGGTAAGTCATAGAAGACAGTAAAAACGTGGAAACACTGGATTTGGGTTATCCACCAGTTTTCCCAATCCAGTGGGTTACACTTATCTGCCATGTTTTCCTTTTTCTTCCCTTCTCCCTCCTCCGTAAAAGTCATCTTAGATTTTTTTTTCTCAGCTCCGTGTGCACCACCACAGAGATGAATTTCTGGAGTCACTCATCCGATATAAATGTTGCTGTAGCCATCAGTAAAGTCAGGATTTTCCTTGTGACTTTTAGTTGCATGGGGCTCCTATAGCTTTTTCAGGATTTTGATATAAGAGCCTTATTGATAAAAGCAGGGTCAACGTGCTCAAAATTTGACACATGAAAACGGAGTATTAATATTAAAAATTAATTGCTGAGCATTAATTTCTGGGTTCACCCAGAACAGTATCATCTGCTTTCCAATGAAGGAATGATACTCCTGGCTAAGCTTTGCAAATATCGTTTGATGAAATAACATAACGAGTTACTGTGATTGTTACAACTACTAAAGATGATGATGATTTCACACATTGTAAGAGGCAGTGTGCAGAATTTCTTTGTTGGATTTCTGAAGGTGATGGATGAGACTGCCTCACAGGAGAAGAACATTGCAGCCTTAAAGAAAGCAATCGCTGACAAGGAAGGACCTGTAAAAGTGGCTCAAACCCGCTTGGAAGTGAGAAACCATCGCCCCAATGTGGAACTGTGCTATGACACAGTGCACAGCAGCCTGATGAGTGAAGTTCAAGAGATTACTAAAAATATTCAAAGGCAAGTGGAAATTATGCAAGAGGAAAATCTGTGGTACAGATTACTGGGTTAATTTAATGTGTCAGCATAACAATGGGTCCCAGCTACTCTCCCTGAAAAGTTGTGAATTGCTTTTCTTTTAAGAGCAGGACACTTTAAGGGAAGTTAATGGATAGACTTTAAGGGAAGACAATGGATATTGTCTCTATGAATCCCTTTCCATCTTTCTGTTTTTTTACTCAGAATTACTAACTCTTATGAGAGAAAATAAACCTATCCATGTGTTTTCAACTAATGCCTGCCTCTATTTTCCCTATTAGATTAAAGGATGCATTGGCACAGGCTCAGACAGAGCTGAAAGGCCTGAGCTGCCGACAGCTGTCCTTGGAGGAAGAGATCAAGGTCAAGGAGAATACACTGTACATTGATGAAGTGCTGTGCATGCAAATGAGAGAGTCTGTTTGCATAAACAATTACTGAAGTCATCATACTCGGGGACATTGTGCTCCAAAGAACCAGCTCCTGCTGAAATGTTATTGACAAACTTGCAAATTTATTGGCTTGGCTCAATACTGTCTAGTTATGCGAGGTAATTAAAACCTCATACTTACAGCTCTCTGTTTCACAGCTATCTATGCTCTAAAACGTTAGATGAAATCCTCCACTTGGCAATAAAATTCCAGAATAATAAAAATGCCCCCTTTTCCATGTTTCTCTCATGTGTAACCAATTACATCTTTTGCCACTGAGAGGTATCAAAAGGCAACTCTGTGGAAGCTAGAGCAGGAGCGTCCTCATAAATCACTTATTGGAAAGCTGGGCAAGTGGGAGAGATGTCTCCCACTATCAGCCCATGCTATGAATCGGCCATGCTATGCTTTGTTTTTATCTTAGCATCTGCTGCTAAGAACTAGACAGTATGGCCAACTTAACAGGACCTAACTTACCTAACTGATACACTAGATAGTGCATTTGTCTGCATCTGAATTAAGTCAAGGCTGACTTTGGGAAAACCACTTCCTCACCTCATATCTCAGTTTCCCTGTTTGTAAAATGGAAACAATGAGATGGGCTTCAATGGCAAAATGTTTGAAGCTCTACAGTGAGAAGTGCTGAAAAAAGAGGAGGGTCTTATTTCGATCAGAGATGCCTGTAAGGGTGGAAAAGGAGTCACTGCTTCCGTTTGTTCTGGCAAGGAAAAACAAAGCAAGGGCAAGAATAAATAATGCTGGAGACAAAGAAGTCCAGTTCCCAAGTCCAACATTTTAATGCATTGAGTTTAAAATTGTCCCTTGCCTCTCTCTTGCTGGAATGATAACTCCCTTTCAGAGGCACTGCTGTCAAAATTCAAATCCCTTTCTAAAGCCCTCCAAAGGTCCGTTAATGCAGATGTCACTGGTTGTTCTTCTCTTCTTGTAGTTTATATCATTGGGTAGGTGATGACAAAATAATTCAGTTCTGAGTCAATCAGGTACTTGAATTTCCTGTAAATATCAGCTAACAGCCGCTCCTCTTCAGTGCTGTTGTCTTGGGCTGTATAAATCCTGACCTGTATGCACAAACAGCAGTCATGTCTCTCAGATATAGTGACCTCAACCCATTACAGCTCATGGCAACACGAAGAATCTGTGACTAATAAGGAATTTAGAGAACCAAAATTCCTTGAATTTCAATAGAATCTTGAGGCTTTAGTCTCTTTCTACTCCCAACTGACTGAAAACTTCATCTCCTGCCAAAGAGTTTTTGGGAGGTTTTGGGAGGAATGAGTTAAATAGTGGAAGACTAGCAAGAAGGATTGTAAATCACTCAGGTGACCCTTTCAGACAGGAATAGTCTTTGATAACCCAGTATGAGCACCAGCCAGTGACCCTCTGGCCTGGACCGAGTTTAACTATGTCTGCCTGGGGGTTGCTCTGGGGATGCCCCAGTGAGCAAAGGAAAGGAAGTAAATTTACTCTTTGTCTTCTAGCTGTGGTTTTGTGGTTGTCCTGGCTGTCTGCCTGTGCTGACTCAGACAGGAAGAGCAAGGTTCTTTTTACCCCCAGAACGGATGTATCCCTGGGATATGCACAGATCTGTGAGAACCTACTGAACTAAGATTGTAGCACACAAAGTAGCATGTCAGCGCGGTTTACACCAGCTACAGTTGTGGCCTGGCCCCAGTTCAAGACAGAACCCCTGAAGGTTGTGATGTGTTTATATAGTTTTGCAGTTTAGTGGGATTCAGCCCACCTTCCTTGGTTTAAGCATAGACATAAGCACTGAGCCTGAGAGATGACTGAGAAACCCTAGATGTGGGAGAGGGCTTGAACTAGAGGTGACAGAGGGAATGCAGTCTAGGAAGGACGTCTGGAATTATTGGGACTTCATAATAAACTTCTATTGTAGCTGTATGTGGCTAAGTAGGTTGGAAAGCCATATTTCTGTGAATGCTTCCCAAGCCCTTTAGTACTAAGGCATAACATAACATAACATAGTTATGTTAACATTAAGGTATGACATAGTTATATTTACATTTCTTTACCTGGGCATGGGGACCTTTGGCAATAGGAGCAAGAATGGGGAGTTTTGAAGCACAAAGTCTTACCTTTATGGTAGTCAAAATGCATTTCCGTTCTGCACGGTTTTGTAGCAGCCTCTCCATAAAGCTGACACTTAGAAATGCCCAGACTTTCAGAAATAACAACCTCTTGCATGATAAGATAAGTTGCAGCAGCTCATTGTCCAGGAACTCGTGGTCATTGTTCAATTCAAGTGTTAATTTCTTGAAAAAAAAATGAACAGTTAGTACTACTAACAGTATTACTAACAGGATTACTAACAGGATGTTGTGTGCAGTAACTAGAATACAAATAGTTTTCCAAGTTAACCAACAAAAGCAAGTGTCAGCAGATCAATTTTGTACCTTGACATTAGCTGAGCTTCTGTTTTGCATTATGACAACAGTGTATGTGCTACAGTAAATCACTGTCTTGTTAAGATGGGGTGATCTCTTGTGCATTTATTAGAAAACGCTGCACCCACAGCCATACCATGATCTTATCTGACATAATGAGAATTACCTGAGAGACAAGAGTAGAGCCAATGATGGTTTCTAGAAAGCTTTACATATTTCTTTTGTTTATTGGAAACTGCAATGGAACAGGACTTACAGAAAGCTGTCAACAACCATCAGGTGTAAGGCCACGTGTTTCCCTCTGGCATGCAAAGACCTGATGCTCACTTACGTGGGTCAGCTGTTGCAAACCTTTGGTGACACATCCCCTGTGACACCAAAGTGCTTTGACATGAGCACTAGTTAATTTAGATGTGCTGTAGGACATTTGTGCATTGCCAAAATAGAGCAGCCTGACAGCATTATGGTGGGTTGTAACTGGACGAGGATAATTTCATTAACTACACTATGGGTGAAACACTGAAATTACTCACTTATGAAAACCGCCCTCTGAACGTTAAACTGAAGCTGTCAGGAACCTCTGTTGCTGACTGCTGTTACGCAGAAGGCCTATATGATTACTTTGTTTAGCTTTGTGACACTGCAGTAGGGTGTCCCTATCGTTTCCCTTACCTGCAGGCCATGCCAGTAAGCTGGGAGAAGGTTGGTGAGAGTAGGTCTCATTGTCCAGTCTGGGTCACTGAAATAACAGCTCCGTAGGCTGATGCTCCTAACTGGGATCTCCACCAGCAGGATCCTAGCTAGGTGATCATGCTTCATGACTCTTTCAAAGAAGAAATTCACGTTCAGTTTGGGGGCTCTCTTGGCCAGGTTTGCCCATGACGTTCCTGAGACCACTTGCCCATGAGGGTCATGGATATGACACTTGATATTCAAGGTGCACAGGGAATGAGAGCTGTGCTCCCGCAGGATGTCCAGCAGTTCATCAGAGATGCAGTTGTAATTGAAAGTCAGGATGGTCAGCCTGTGGAACTTAGACATAGTTTGGTGGAACAAGGCACTGCTGTAGACAGAAAGGTGGAGACTGAAGAAATCCTCAATATTGATTTCAGATATAAAGCTTCTATTTGTCAAGCTGCTCAGAGAATTCAGAAGCTCACAACCTTCTTCCAATGTTATTCTCGCTCCTTTTAAGTTAAGATAATCAAGTTGTTTGCTCATTCTTTTCAGGAAGGCAGCTAAGTTCTTGATAAACTGAGCCCTAACCACATTTTTCCAGATCAAGCAATCTAATTCTAGGTACTTGATGCTCAGGGATACTAGGTGGCTATTACACTTACCCAGGTGTGAAAGAAGACCTCTCATAATCACTTGAAATTTTTTGATAAAGGGAGTATTGTAAGGATTCGATAACTTGATCTCAAGGTGCTTCAAATACTTGCCAAATTTCTTGGTATACCACAGTGCACTTTGAAACTCCAATGTGCGTGCCCTTGATGGTTGGCCATAGAATGTGATGGTTCTGCATCTCCAGAGAGATCCAGAGTCCATGGTGCAACTCCATTTTTTACAGACCAAGGCAGCCCGAGATCTGTCCCTGTCATCTAACCAATGGAAGACATGCCTCAGACAGACATCAGGTAGATAGGCCCAGGAGCTTTGCTCGGGTTCACTGTCATCTTCCATTGAGAGGATTTCTCTTCTGGGTCCTGAGTCAAACCAACATGCAGAAAGCTGTGGGTAGATTTCTTGCCAATCCCAACATAATAGGCTTCTAAACAAAGGGATGAAAGTTTGCTTCTTCACAATCAAAACCAAGAACCCTTTGCTTCTGCACTCCAGCTGACAAAGTCAAACAAGCTCTTGAGTTGAAACTATCGTCTTACCTAAATCAAAAAGAAAAAAACAAAGAGTGAAGAACAATCACAGTACAAGCACAGGACACATCTTTTAACTTTCTGGCCTTCATCTTCAGTCTAGATAAACAGTGAAATGGTATCAACTGGTGCTACAGCAGCTACACCCTCTACAAAAACCTTTGGTTAGCATCAGCTGCAGTTAATTGATCATGGTTTGTGGTCTGATGCCTAGTGTTTAAAAGTACTCAGTTCTTTGGGCTTGAACAGGACAATGAGTGCAAAATTAGCACTAATGACTTTTCACAGCTTTCTGGGGTGCCATTCCATGACAATTATTATCCTGCCTCAGATTAAGGCTGGATAAAAAAGTTGAAATGGATGGAAACAAGAAGTGCACGATAAGAAGAAGAAAATACACAGATCCCTGCGAGTCTGTTTACAACTACAAAGGCTCAGGTATTTCTATTTTAATTTTATAAACGGGCATGAAAGGACAGGCTGACAGCACAGTTAAGTTCAGCCTGCTGTTTGTCTTTTGGCCTACAGTTCTTACGTCACACAGAATTTCTCTGCCTGTACACATACTCTTTTCAATTAGCACCGTTTTTATTCTTAGGGAATCCTCTGCCCACTCTTGCCATTCAAAGTGCCAATCCACATCCCCAGCTATCAAGGTAACCCTTAGAAACTGAGCATGTGGTCTGATTACTACCCAACTCTTTCTCTTTTATCTAGTATCCCCAAGAAGAGGTTTTTGTTTTGCAGAACTATTAGTCATTTAGGTCTCTAGATCAATGTCAAAAAATCCAAGCCAAATCTTAAAATATGGTGCCTAAAGCTCCAGTTTGCTAGTGAGAAGAACCTGAAACTTTTGCTATAGAGATTAAGGGTGGGGAGGACACGGGGGAAGAGGTCTAACACTTCAGCTACCTGGAAGCCCTGACGAGAATGGACAGAGGAAAGTGGAACAGAATATAGGGCTTCAGTACCTAGAAACACATGTTAATAAAAGATGTTTATTACTCTACACTCATCATTATTAGTGTGCGAATACAAAGTGGTACAAACAAACACCACCAGGTGGAAGTTTTTTAAAATCAGAGTTCTTATGAATTTGTAAAAAGTATGTTTGTTTATAAGCCAGTGGTGAGATTCAAGAGGTATCCTGCAGTGTTGGGTTGGCTTCCCCATCACTATAAGGAAATCTTAGGTAAGGTGTTTTAGCTGTCAGCTCTGAGTTTAACTTGGTGGGGGAAAAACAAATATTTGGAAAAAAAACCCCAGTTCTTTCTAGAGCAATTTTTTTTAGGCAGAAGTAATTTAAAGATAAATTAATACTTTGCATGTACCAAATCAAAACAAGAGCCCCCGCCGCTGAACACGGGGCAGGGGACATCCTTTGCCCTTGGCCCTCTTTGCTGCCCGATTTGCTTCAGAGGGCATCCCGGATGGTTTACGGTCCCACACGGACAGTTACACTAGCTGTCTTCTCCAGCATGAGCTGCAGAAGCCCGTGGAGTAAAAGCAAACAAACAAAAACCTTCTAAGACTTTGACCGATAATTACCAGAACTAACAGGGGCTGCGGCTTGGATACCCAAGCGGGCAACCCAGCCTGAGTCCTTTTACTCCTCCAGCTGCCGCGGATCTCCGGGCCGCGGTGGGCGAAGGCGCCAGAGCCGCGGGCGGGGACAGCGCGGCCCCTGCGGTTGGGCCGCAGACCCGGGGCCATTCCCCTCAGCCCCGGCACGCGCCGGCTAACGGCAGCTGCGCGCGCGCGGGGCCCAGCCAATTGCGGCGGGCGGCGGCGGCGGCGCGGCCAATCCGCGGGCCCGGAGGGGGCGATGCGGCCAATCCGCGGGCCCGGAGGGGGCGGTGCGGCCAATCCGCGGGCCCGGAGGGGGCGGCGCGGCCAATCCGCGGGCTCGGAGGGGGCGGCGCGGCGTTCGAACGCGGCGGCGGCGCACAAAGCTCGGTCCCGAGCTGGCTCCCGGTTCCGTCCGGCGCACTGAGTAAGTACTGCCCCGAGCAGCGGCCGGTCGCGGCACTCTTTTCCCGAGCCCGTCTCCTCCGTCCTTGGCGGTACTTTTCGCGCTCGTTTCTACCGTCCCTGTGGGCGCAATAACGGCACCGGCTGGGCCCGCCCAGCGCCCCCGTGTCCCGTTAGCCCGATGTGGCGGCACGGCGGATCTACCGCGGCTGTCGGCGGGGAGCACGGCCAGTGCCAGCAGAGCGGGGTCCCTGCGGCGAGAGCGGCTCGGACGAGGCCTGAGGCTGGGCGTGTCCTGTGTCCCGGCCGGGGGCTACCCCCAGACCGCCGTGGCCTCCGGAAGAAACAGAGCACCGAGCTATCCTGTGCAATACCCGTTTGATAACACATCATTGTGACCGTACGACAGCAGCGGCTCTCTCGGGCCATTTCACCTGAATCGTATTTGCTAGCAAGGGAAAATCAAGAATTGAAAGTATATATGTCCATATGTTTAAATTGTCATATGTCATATAGATAACTAGCATTTTAGCCCTTCCCAGTGAAGTCTTCTGCCAGTAATAATCCTGTCTGTTTCAGGACTTAGGTATCCACAGTAACGTATCCAGTATTGTAACTGTGACCGAAGCAGAAGCCTTCAGCTAGCAAGTGCGGCAGGAGACAATAGCAGCTGCATAAACTTGTCTCACAGTGGAGGGTTGTTCTGATTAAAGAAGGCAAAAATTTGGGATATCAGATCTTGATCTGAGACACAAACAAAAAAAAAATGCACTCATAGAGCATCCTACCTCTCAAAATAGAGTCTTGCAGCGGAATTGCAATACAAGGCTTCTTTGTGGACCTGCACAAACCTAAATAGCTGTAGAAATCAACCCTGTTCTCTTTCAAGACTCCAAGTAAAAGTCTGCTCTGGTTTTCTTGTTTCAGGCAAGTGTAACTAAATATACTGTGTAACAGTTTCCATTTCTCTTTTTTTTTACTCTGCTTTGTACTTTGTTCTGTCTAAGCTTTGCTCTCATCTTGATTGTTTTAGAAATAAAGTTGACCAAGAACAGGAACAAGATGGCGTCTGTGCTCCAAAATGTCAAAGCAACCGTGGTGTGGCGGAAACACCAGCTCCTAGCTGACCTCAATGAGAATGAGAGCCCTGTGCCTGACAAATTCAAGAGAAGGGCCCCTCTGAGTTCTCTCAATACCATTCGCATGTCTTTAAGGAAACGGGTACCATTAAAGCGAGTAGAGCTGAATTTTCATAAAACCCTAACTAGGGAAAGTCTGGAACCAAGACAGAGGTGCCAAACTCTTCACACTATTAAAAGAACAGCAAAATCTGCTTTTGGAACAGTGTCCCAGGTATTTTACCTTTGCAGTGGAACGTAGATGGAGTTTCACTTTGCTTCAACTCCAGTACTAAGATTTCTGAATTCTGTATTGTGTGCTATACTCTGGAGAGTCCATTTCCACACACTTGCACAACTTAGTAGTTGTCTCATAGCAACTAACTTTTAGAATCTTTAACATCTTTTCCTAAAGTATAGACAGGCAAATTATGGATCTGGCAGAACATGGAGGAAGGTGAAAACATTTTATTTTATTTCATTATGAAATAAGAGCTTTTCTCCTACTGTATTTAATCGTATGTGGCAGAGCAGCCTTCACACAGAGAAGGTTGGGTAGAGATTGCCATCGCTTGCAAAGAATTGTTACTGAGAAATGTGCAGCACTTTGGATTTTTTTTCTTTTATTCATTCTCCTGTACCAGTACTATTTACTAACATGTTCTTTATTATAGTTAATCTAAATTTAGACTGACAAAACCTGCTACAAGGTAGCAGGGCAGCAGATTCAAGCTTGCACTTCCCTTTCTTGGAGACCTCGGATTTCCAGTATAAGAGCAACAGGACCTTTGTTCCAATGGCTGTTCTGAAGTCCTTGACGAGTGCCAAGGGTTAGGGAAGCAAGTGACTCCTACAATGCAAATGAGTAGAGAGGTTGAGATGCATTCATGTTATTGAAAGCTGGTATGAGAGGGAAAGCTAGGAATTCAGCCCAATTATTCCTAGTCTTCCTGGTTCCAAACTTGAGGCTGAGTTCATTTAGTCTAACATATCTAATGCTTCTTTCAGAAAACACAGAAGTCTTGCCAAAGCCCAGTACGCTCAGTGGTGACCCTTCCAGCTGAACCCAGCAGCAGCAGCAGCTCTGCGACCAGTTCTATCAAAAAAAGAAGCACTACACCTCAAACACCTTGCTATAAGAGTGTTACTCCAGCAGCCACTTCCAAAGGCACTCCAAGGTCCAGCAAAAGGGCCTTGCTTGGGCCAACAGGGGTGTCAGAACATAGAGAATGGCGGGATTTCTCATCCTGGCTTGGTAAAAATGCTGTCTCACTCCGGAGATCCAGAAGAGCAGCAGCACTGAAGAGCCCTTATTCATCACCTGCTACTTCCAGCAGAAAGATGTAAGTCACACTCTCTTGTAAGTATTTTTTCATTTAAAAATTTACTCTGATTAGAGTATCTGATAAAGTGAAAGGCAAAGTATGAAGTTTTCTGTCCTATTCCCCTGAAGGTATGTGCTGCTTGAATAGTTAAAGGTAGTTCCACCTCTTTATAGACAGGGATTGAGCTCTGCATAAAACTGAAATATAAAAAGTAATTTTTTCCTAGAGACATACCTGAGTTCTTTGCTGGTGCCTTTTGGGTAAAGGAAAATGGTCTGTATGTATCTCACTCTGACTGAATTGTAACTCTTCTAAAAAGATAAGTTAGCTATTTGTATTGCAAAGATACCAGGAATAGCTCTGCTTATGCTGAGTTCTTTATAGAATATAGGGAGATTCCTGCCTTAAAGAACAAACTCAAATTAGATCAAGGGTTGTGAGCTAGGGAAATATTTAATAATGTGCACATAGGTTTTTCTTTTGGTCAAAGTGGCAAGGAAGGTTAAAGCTAGAAGTTGAATCCAAGCCTTGTGAATCTGAATGTGGTGTCTGAGTTGGAGGACAGATGTGTGAGGGATGAGTGGAGACGTGAAGCAGCTGGCCAATGGAATTAAGAGCATAATTGCCACTGCCCTAAACTTCTCTGGGTAAAGTCTAGCGGTATCAAAAATGGTACTGCAGGGATGGAGGCTGGAGTAGTGTCACCTCGTCAGCCTGTCCTGCTTGATCTTTAGCAACAACCATTCTGTTTGCAGAGAGTTTGACTGCGAGTTGGAACTGGTCTCCTCAGGGATTTGCCAACTGAAGTGTATCTCCCAAGCATTCGATGATGCCATTGTGAAAGAGGAGAGGTAAATACTGCTAAGTGTCCCTCAACTTTTGGCACAGGTTACCTGCCACCTGGACATAGCCAGTTGCAGGCTAAGTAGTCTCTGTAACTCGGGATGAGGAACAGTTGCAGAACTTTTTCAGGTGTAATGTAGTAATCCATTTTTTTCTTCAAGATTCCTGGGAAAATTAAATCTGCAGTTGGATTTGCAGCTTCTAAAACCTGTCAAATTCTCTTCGTCTTCATTTTCCTTGTTGTGGAAGTCAGATTTTTAGCAGAGAGAGCCTACCTTTGACTTTGTGTGAGAACAGTACCTCCCTGACCCTTGTCTAAAAGAGGTGCCAATCCAGGCTGGGGGAGGAGGTGGGAAAATTCGTCATTGATGTCTGCACATCTATAAAGAAACATCCTGTTATTATGTAGCATTATGTTAACAAACAGTCCATAGTACCCAGATGAAAAAGCCTCTTATAAAACACCTTGGTTAATCCACAAGGTGGGAGGCTGCTGTATTTGTGAAGGTTATGTCGTTCTAAATTAGACACATAATAAAGTAAAAATTAAAGGTCAGAAATCTTGTCACAGAGTGATTCCCTAAAATTCTTCCTCTCTTAGAGCACTTGATGCCAAGCATTCCATAACTAAATGTCAAGCACCTCAAATTCTCTAGAGAGCGTTTAGCATCAAGTACTTTACCTACAAAGAGGTAAGGGCTTAATATCCCAGATAACTGCAAAAATTTGTACCAATGGGGCCATGTGTAGATAACTATAGATTAAACCTTGGATCAAGTTAATTTTATCTACTATCTATTCATATCTACTGAAAGTTTACTAAACTCACTCCTAATATTCTCCCATCTGCTAGTGATATGACAGTTCCTCTCATTTGTAACAGAAGATAGTAGCAACCAGGTAAAGTAGTTGTTCACTTACCTTGTCTATGCTTGCATGCATTTGTGGGGAGGAAAAACTGCTGTTTGGAGTGGGAAAGGCTTATTATCCCATGCTGCTTTAAGGCAGTATTATGTAGAACCACAGGCTTCTTCCTTCATATTCTCTGTGGCCATCTCTGCTACAGCAGATTGTTGTGCAGCTGTAAAACTTCACCACCAAATTGTGGATTAGTGAGTCCTTGTGGGTTCACAATGAACCTCCTATGCAAATATCAGCTTTTCTCACCCCAGACCAAAAAATGACTGGTACTAATCCTTTTGTCCCTCAAGTTCTCACTGGTTACTAATGATCACAAAGCATGAGACAACCAACCATTATCCTGAACTGTCTGATTTTACAGCCTTCCTTTTCCATCTCTCAAATTTTCATAGCAGTTGAGTCCATGCTATCACAATTGACAGCAGCTCAAAACGGTATTGATGGCATTTTGAAACACAGCAATTGCACCCAAACGGCTGTGACATAAATATCTTCACCCATTATGTTGGAAGTGTTTTTTTGTTAAAGGGGAAGGTACATCCTGAATATTAGATCCTATTTTAGCAACAAAGATAGGGACAAGACACTTTGCTGTAACTTTTCAAGAAAAATGAGAGCAGTTTCAAATGCTGGACTGATGCTTTCCGCAGTGATCTCTACTGCTTCCAAAATTTGGTCCAGTACTCCTGCATGTGTAGATGCATACTGTGTGCTCTTTATTGCCTAGTTGCCTACTGGAATAACTGTGAAATGAATTTTTTGGAGGTGCCTTTAGTCTTGCATGAGACTTTCTGTTCTGGTATCCAGTTGCCAGGAGTTGTAATGTTAGCGCTCCCTTTTAATTTTTTTCATGACGAAGTAAACCTTGATCTCGAGTGATTGTTTCCATTTCCAGCTCCATGTATTGTTCTAATGTTTTGCATTTTAATGAATTAGATTATATCACAAGAAATGCGCCTGTTGCTAGTTAAAATTTACTTAATTTGTGTACTGCCATTTATCTTCACTGAAGGTAACAAAATATTTTCTTGCTAGTGTTTAGAACAGTTACACAGTGAAAGTGTACCAGACCTCTTCCTTTCTCCCATCTACTTTCCAGCAACTTGTAGGACAACCAGTTGAGTAACTCTGCTGACTTCATGCTGCTAATGGTAGCCCTGTTGTTCTTCTGCAGGCAAGAAGCAATATCAAACTACTACTATCTAATGGCACAAAACTCACAGTCTGTACATCCATCCCTGAAACTGTCTCAAGCTATCAGAAGGCAAGCAAAGAAACTCCATCAAGCACTTGGTACCTAGACAGAGATGGCTGTAACTGTTTTTTCATGTTTCCAAGTTTATGAGCACATGTAAAGGAGAAGTCTGTAGAGCACCTGAAAGGCTGCACTCTATACACTTAAATGAGCCATTACACTTTTCTTTTTTATGAAGAAGCTCAGGACTTCCCTTGCTTTCTCTTTTCAAGTAAAGAGAGAATCAAAATACACCAAGCACAGTGTATTATCTCCTGCTGAGATGAGGGAACAGTCTTGAAAGTGACTTGCATTAGGGAGTAAGTACAACACTTTCCATGTGAAAAAGATTGGTCTATTCTTTTGAAAGCTTAGGTTGGTTTTTTTTTTCTTTGGTTTTTTTTGTTATTAGCAAATTAAGAGTTATTCATCATATCAGCTGGAAGTTCATAAAACAGTAGTGGCTTCTCTGAGTTCTAAGCAAAACTGCCATTCCAAAGCAACAGGTTTCTGTGGAGTCCCTCATGCCACAAGAACAGAGCCATATTAGGACTCTCACTTCATGGCCTTAAGGATTAGCCTAACTAATACTATTTTTAGGTAGTTTGGTTCCAGACAAATCCGAGCAACTTTGTTATTTCTTACTGCTGCTTTAGATAGCATCTTGGCAGTTGAGTTAAACATTGCTTTTGTGCTGCATCTGTCTTTCAGTTCTACGTGGAGATTTGTTACTACAGTTAATGTAACTTCTTGCAACTACTAATATCTATATTAGTATTAGCTATGTGAATAGCTAATATCACAGTGGAAGTATTTTGGTTATGTATACTTAGCATTTGATACCTGCATTTCGCTTCTAATTACTTAAAAAAAAAATTAACATTCATTTGACAAGCCTTTTTTGGTAGGTCATTCAGTATAACAAAGTTTAGTCTTTCAAACTAAAGCAAATATTTCTCAAGTTTTTAAAATTCAACAGCAGGGCTTTTTTCCATGGTAAGCTTTGTACAGGCTTCTCTGATTATATTCGCTCTAAAATAAACCTTCAAACGAAAGACTGATTTGGGAAATCTTGCTCTACTTGATAATTTTTAAGATGTGCATGTGACCTAGTAGTTCCAGTGTTACTAAAATTTTAATGGTGTCAATATAAAATGTCAATAAATACGAAAAGCAGTAAATTATGATTTATATATAAGTACTGATTTTAAACTTAGTCACAATTATTTTTACTTGTCAAATGAAACCATTTTAAAACACTGAAACTGTTAATGAGGCCTGGAAATATGAAAGCAACCCTTCTAGCCTGAAGACTTCTATACTTTTATAGATTTTTAGCTTCTGTTATTTCTTGATGTACTGTTTGTGTGTGTTTTGTGGGCTGGTTTTTAGGGTTTTTAAACAACTTTTCTATATGGAAGTATAGAAAAGTATACTGTCTCCAAGTTATTGTTTGCATGTCCTGAAACTATAAACCTTTCATGAAAATGTTGTCTTATTAGTGAAATGCCTTCTTCTATGACTTTTGAAAAGGAAGGAGGGTTGGAGTTTTTTGAAACCTTGACCTTCAGTCTAAGTATTATTTCAGAGAGATCAAACAGCCTCTATTTATTATGTTTCCACCAGCTACTTGGACATGTACAATTATGATCAAATATTTATCAAATTACTGGTAAGAATAATCAGTGACACTGTTTGTTTAAAGGCAAGGAAGGTTTTATTTAAGTGGCCAATCTGTTTTAAGATTTTAAAAACCAGCTCACATCAAAATCTATAGCAGTTGTAGAAATCGTACTCCTTATTTCATATTAAGAAATTATTGTACATTTTTGAATCTTTACAAGGTAGCCATAAGAAATATAAACATTTGTCACCAGATAGAACCTTCTCACTGACAATATTTAAAAGTATGCACTTAATAAAACTATAGACTGAAAGAACACCTACAATTTCAAGTTTTCTTGTGTGAATTCAGTTGTAAGGGGACTGCCCCTTCTCTTCCCCACAAATAGAAAAACAAGTTATGCATAAGCCTTGGGGTTCTGTGAGAGGAGCCATTCTGGACTGTACACCAGTCATCCAGGAATAACCCTACCTTTCAAACTTGCTATCTGTAAATCATTTCTCAATGCTGCAATCTCTGGTAGACCATCTCCCAGCATGTCACAGTAAACCTGCCTCTCTCTTTTCTCCCTCCTATGTTCTATACATCCATACAAATGACAAATGAACTGTAAAATTTATCTTCCCCAGTAATAATTCCTGTCTGTTGGGCTTGACCTAAAATGAGTGAAAGGGCCAACACATGCTCTCAATTCCAGACCCCATGGCACAGGATTCTAGCTGTTCCAGGCATTATTTCTGAAAAACGAATATTTTCATCCAGAAACATATTTTTTTCCATTTTTATGGGGGTTCTGAATTTAGGCTCAGCTGTAGGAATTTATAGTTACCTCGAGTGACTAAACATCACAGAAGTCTTAATTACGTTGACAAATCCACTATTCCTGCTTAAGCTTTGACCACGGACCACGAGGAATCATTGTTCTAGAGAAGCTGAGAAAGGTAGGCTGAAAAGTTTATAGGAATTCTATCCTGTACCAGCTCCAGATGAGGATCAAAGTGCCACTTTCTCCCCTGCATGCCTGACATGAACAATTAATGCAGAGATCTTCAGTTCATACACCACGTGTCACTGTCTAATCAGAAAAATTATGAAATTGTGGTGTATAATCCTCATCTCTCCATTATCAAGCCAATGAGTTTACCAAAAAGATACCCCTGCTCCAATCATCTAGTCCTATGACGATGCACTCACCTTTCTGCAGCCCAGATGCCACGAAGGAAAAAAAAAACTGGGGAAAATCCTACTTGTTCAGTAACAACTGTTGGACCTACAAATTTTAAAACTTAAAAATACCTACTGGTTTCAGATATTTTAAATGCTTACAAAAAAAGCTTTTAGCAAATTTAAAACAGAAAACTACATAGAAAGAAGGGGAAAAAATAATTTTTCCCTTTATAAATTTGTTCCATGAAGGACATGATGCTATTATAGATCCAAGTATTGAGGATTTGTTAAATACACACATTCGTAGTGTCCTGGCTAAAGAAAGACTGCAATGTATAAACAGGAGAACTTGTTCACTAGTAATGACAAACAAAGGCTATTTTGCAGAATAGTGGGGCTTCTGAAAAAAATGTCGTTGTCCTGCATAGACCAGGGTGTGTAACTTTTTTTCTCTAGTTTATAGATAGTTCCCCTTCTACATAACCAATGAAAGTTTTAGCTGTTTGGAAGTGACTTCTCTAGGTATTAGAGGAAAAAGTGAAGTAATCTGTATAAATTAAGACTAGTTTAATGTAAACAAATAAAAATGACGGCTCTCATGAACCCCAATGAATAAGAATTACCAGTACTTTGTCATTTCCACACCTAACAGAATTTTATGCTGAATAGATATAAACCATGCCACAAAACTAAACAGGAAGACTTTGGTCAAGCAAAAATCTATTCTAAGAGCACTAGTGTATGCAAACAAAAATGTCATTCAAAATAAGCAGATTTGGATTAACATCACTATTCAATTCTGCAATCTATACAATGATATTTTGTTCCAAACCTACCTAGCTAGACAACAAAATTGAACAGACAGCCACTGTTGCTGTGTTTGAGTTGGTTTTGTTCTTTTTTTAAATGTATATAGGTTACAAATTTGCTGTGAGAGCAGGACCAAAACTTAAGTGTCTTCCAGTAGCTATACACATGTACACACAGACAAAACCAAAACACCACAGTTGTGAAGGTGTGTTTTCACAATATCTCCAATAACTCTACCACTGCTATTAATCACAGCCATTTTTTTTACAGTAATTTAAAATGGATCCATATCAACAGGACGAGAAGTAAATGCTTCCAACTGTGGCTTACTTGCACTGTAGCATTAGCACCCACTGGACTAACAATTTTGCATTTTACAATTTCATTTATTCCTTCCTCCATTCAGCATGTTAAAAGAATGTGCTTCTCTGTTACACACTGGAGGCACTAAACAACTTACGGTGCTGCAACTGATAAGTCTAATGTATGTTCTGTGGGCATACACCTCTGTCCTTCCGTGTATGCTAAAGCACTTTCATTGTCTGTACAGTTTAAGTGAGTGCTGACTGCACAGAAACTGCAGCAATGAGGACTTGCAATCAAGAATAAGATGACTGTAGGATCAAACTTACCCTCAGCAAATGGCCTGCCTAGGAGACTGATTTTCTATGAAAACACAAGTAGAACTGAAATCCAATAGCAAGATGAATGCCTGTGAATGACTGGATGCAGTTTCATGTGTGTAACTAAAATGCCTGTATCACTATTTTGCCGAAGTGCACAGCTGGAGCATGTGATCACAAGATAAACCATTCCAGCTATGAGCAGTCAGTAGTGCTTGAATTATGCAAATGCCATATAAGCTCTCATATACTGTATGAGAACAAACTTAGGGAGAATATTTTCAGCTTGATTTTAATACCATGTTGTAGAAACTTTGAAATTCTTACCACACACAATCCCACACACACACACACACACGTTTTACTGCTATTAGCTCCTAATATTCTTAAAGGAAGCCAGCAGAGTGACTACTGTAAAGGTGACCCGGTTATTAATAGAAATATCAGAGTCTTCATGACATGGAACCCTGTAAAATGACATTATGTCTCCAAGAGTAAAAGACAGCCCTTTATAACCTCGGAGATTTTTCTAACCTTGTACTCAGACACTATTTCCTTCAATACAGTCACAGAATTACACAGATTCCTCTTTTGAAAGGAAGTAGACCTTTCTACTACAGCAATTTAAAACAAAAAAAATAGGTTTAAGTCTCTTGGGTGATAGAGGTAGATGACTAAAGCAAGAGTAGCTTTGAACAGAAATAGCGATTACTGTCAGGAGACATGCTACACAACACCCAATGCTTACAAAGAACTTTTCGATCAGTCAATATTTTAGACTCTGCAGCAAACTTAAAATTTTCCTAGTAAGTTCCTCTCTCACAAGCCTTGGATTCCCATGCTATTAAAAACTAACAAGCAGGAGCATGCTAACAGTAAATTCACTAGGAGATGGAGGTTGGTGCCACCGTGCAACCTCCCCCTAGTGCAACACAGAAGAGAAGAAATGGACTATGTGATTAGAATTAATACATGCAATGGGCTGAGACAGAACATGGAATAAATCCTTCAATTTCATGGGTTCAAAAGCAATGATACTACTGGGAAAGCATTTGTAAATGTAAAGACTGTTTCAATGTAGTTTGCAAACTACCGTTCAATTAGCTTTTGTAGCAAACCCTAGAGCACAAAACCCCAGCCCCTTGAAATGTATTTACCTGCTCCCAAAGAGTGTTTGCTACCAAAATTTTTACATCTTTTCCTTAATCTTCAGCAGAGATTACCCCTTCCCTTAAAGGAAGCATTAGAAAACAAAACAAAACAAAAAACCAACTACTAATGTGCCAGACGTATTTCAGGAAGTTTGAAATAGGCAACTGACAATCTTGTCAAGTAATGTCTGAAAATATAAATCAAAGATCACCACTTACAAGCTATTTTGCTGCCTCTTAAGACAAAAGCTACACTCCTACACCCTTCCAAAAGTCCACTGAAGCTTCAGGGTTAACAGGGAGTAAAGACTTACTTTACTTCTGCACTGTCTTATTACATTTCCATTGCATTTCTTGTTTTACATGTTAACTTTCGAAATCATTCACCAACTCAGTGAAAGACTCTTTCTGGTCCAGCAAAACCTGAAAGGGAGATGGAGAGGCTCAACACCCTCTCCACTCCAATTCCCTGAAATAAAAAACAAACAACAAACCTGGAAAAAGAATGTCCTTTAGACTTCAAGCTTTTTCCGTGTCAATATTATATATTTTTAACTCTAAAAAAATGGGTTTTTATGTGCAGTTATAACTTCATTGCAGGTTTTAAAACATGCGTCAGTTTAGTCATTAAAGTTCTCTTGATGAATTTCCGTGGAAGTATCTGCATGAAGAATCTGCAAACTGCTACTATGTTAAAGTAACCATAATGCTTAAGAAATACTACTACTTAGGGAAAACGTCACATTTTACTTCCAGTAAGTCCATTGTGAGATCAGAGAGAAATTTAAATCAGTAGAAAAATGTCTATTTGGCACCTGTATTTTTGCATGTTTCCACCCTTTGAAGCTCAAATTGCTATAATTCTGAATGCTACAGATTGTCTTAATACAGCAGTTGCTGTGAAGCATGAGAAGGTAAACAATTTATCAATTTACTTAATTACCTTTTTTTCCCCTTCAGTGTAAAGATTCTAGTTAATAATTTAAAAAAGTAACTGCTCTGAAGTTTGCAGATCCCTTAGTAAAACGGTTCCTTTTAACTTGCCCTCCTAGGATCTGACTCTCGGATTGAGATCATCAGAGCCATCTTCTTTGGAGTAGTCCACACATTTTTGCACAGTCACCAAGTTCCACCAACAATGTGATCTTTGTACAGTTGCACACTACTTTGTTTACAACAACACTAACTGTGTTCAAACTGTGGCAGACACATACATTTTTAACATGAAGTTTTTATGTTTGGTTCACAAGTGAAGTTCTCTCTTTTATTTTTCCAGCACCTCACACAAACATGAGTGCCCATGTTGGAGTCTGTTGACCAACACTTTAGGCCGAAAGGAAACCTTGAGTTTAATGCACCCAGAAGGCATCTTGTTGTACAAGTCAGAACCACCTGTTATTGTAGCTTCCACTGCTGCTTCCCTTTATCACTTTTATTGAAAAGTGAAGTGGAAACAGACATGACTACTTAATGCTTAAAGCATAAACCTTCTCTGTAACCTGTCAGACCTACCCTTTACACTGTTGGATGCAGCTAATTAGCTGATACCACAATCCTTCATAGTAAAATCAGTATCTTTTCCTCTTATTGCACACATTATATCTATTCCAAAAAATAACCTGTTGCTATGATGATAAGCTTGTGATAGTTTTAGATTGTTTTAATCTTCCTCAATAGACATGATAAGAGGAAGAGACTGAAAGTGCCCCACTTGGTGTAAGAAGGCAGATTTCAGAACAGGGAAGACTCCAAGGTACAAATTCCTGTCTACTTCTCTTAGTTTGGAGCTGCCTAAATACTATCTTTGAGGCATGCCTACGAGTTTAATGGGGTGCACCCAAGATCTACATTCCCAATCCTCCTAGGGAATGGATTCAAATTTGTGAACTCCACCTCGAACCCAAGCAACGGAAGGCAAATGCCTGTCATGATCTTTGTCTGATTCAGGCTGGCTCTGAGCACGCTCTGGCTTGGGGTTTGAAGAAGGTGGGTCGGGTTGCTGTACAGACATAGTCCGGCGGAGATGGTTTCTCTTGCGCAAAAACTCAGGTTGTGAGTGGAGGCCAAAGCTGCCTTTTCTCAAAATCATCCGAGAGTTGTTCCTTTTGGGTCGTGAATGGAGACTGAACTCCAGCGAGGCCAAGTGGGCTGCGTAACCTTCAGTGAGGAACTGAAACAGGGATGAAAAGAAAGGGAGTGACAAATTACTGCTGCCTTGACCTACGAGCGCTATGAGGAATTAAGTTTTGATCGCCGGCATCTAAATTAGATACGTACAGAGTGACAATACTCTTCTCCCTTCATTTCTTTTTTTCAAATGACCCATTCCATTTTGTCATTCAGAAATATGCAATGCATGCACTTCTAGATACCGCTTGATTCTCTTTATTATTCACCCTTCCAGAAAATGCCTCATTTATAACACGAACTGCCTTTCTTTGAAATACTGCTGCTGCTTTGTGTATGTGTGAGTTTGCACATGCATTCACTTGCATGCATTTCCTTGTCTTCCCTAGGACTTCCTGACTGAATAGCAAGAGTTACTTACTTGGCATTGTGCCTGGTATTTCTTTGTGGATCGTCCAACTATGTAGATCTGGGATGGCGACAGAGCCAAAACACTGTACACAGAAATATCCTTCATGGAACCGTATGCGGCGCAGATTTTGATGTGGCACTGAAACAAACATTACTTCCAAAGTGAACGCACTATTGAACACCATGGAACTACAAGGATGGCGCTTGATTTGCAATAAAGCAGCATATGAGTTCACTGTTAACAATTTCAATCTGTAAACCTCAGAAAGCTAAACAGGTACTGCCTGCATGTGAGCAAGAACTACAGCTGTGCACACAGGAAAGAACAAGCAGTTCATTTACTTATTTGTCAGGATTGCAGGTCCCTTTGGATGTTTTATCAGCTTTCCTTGCTCTTTAAAAAGTGAGAAAAGAAATGAGGAATGGCAAAAAAGACTGAGATGTTCAGTAAAACTTATTGTTGAGAAAGAAGGGAGACATCTACTGAATGACATTTTCTGAAAAGAGGTTTTAAGGCCATAAATAGGTTTCTAGTACCTCTTGCATGAGATTCCGGAGAAAAATGGTCTTTTGTCGCAGTGGGTCATGAACAAGTCCATCTGAGAAGAAGATCATCCCTTGTGGGAAATTGTGTTGGGACAACCATGAAACCACACGCTGTTTTTGCATATCTGGACGGCCGGTGATATAGATAATCAGATACCCCAGGTCCTGCCAATGCCTATCAGAAGAAGCAGTTAAATCATAGAAGAGCAGAAAGAGAAACAACACTCACAGGTCAGGTCAAAATCTTTTCTTCTAAGTTCAGTTAGAAGAATGCTATTCGGATGCTATCCTTTAACAAGTGGAAAGGAGCCTAAGTCTCTGCTCCAACCAAGAAACTAAGTCATAATCTCTACACCTCGGGGAAGGTGGAGGAAAGCAAGAAAGCGTAGAGCATTGTTATACAAAATATTATCAAAAATATGAGAGCCACTAAAAAATATACTTAGAATAAGCTTCGCAAAACATCAGGTATGGCTGCTTTGGAAATCTTTAATGAGATTTCCTGCCATTTCAGCTATAAGGAATGGTAACCCTTGAAAGATGACATTTCTACATTCCCACACAAGCTCCAAAATGGAAACTGCCTTTTTCCATCCAGTGCAACATTAACAGACCTGCAAGAATGGATTAAAAGGCCTTTTAATTTTTCCTCCAGAAAACATTCTTGACTTTCTGGCACCTGATATTTTTGAAGTACAAATATGTCCTTATCTGAAATTATTGAAACACAAAATACACATAAATAATTATTAATTCACTGCACATGCTTCACAATCATATTCCCAAGAAGCAACGTTTTATCTTTCGCCAACTTAAACCACAAATTTCAATGTAATCCACAGCATTTTAATATTACTCTTAAATTCAGGCAGATACACTGTGCAAGAAAATATAGAAAAGTATCTGCAGAGAATCTTGGCCCTTAGAAAACTGCTGTCTGTTGAGTGTAACAACCCCTTTTCCTTCCTACTTTGTTCAAGCAGAAAGTTAGAGATTCGAAGTGTTCAAACCTCATTTACCTGACAACATCAACGGCCCCTGCTCGGACTTTGGGGTCACTTCCCATAATTGAAACACTTGCTGCAAAGGAACCATCAATGCTGAACACAACACATTCCATTCCTCGGGGCAGTACAGTGAGGTAACTTGCAGCACTGCTCTGGTCCCCTCTGGAGAGTCAAAGCAATACATTAATTTAAAAAGCAAAACGACAGAATGTATTTTCTGCACGTTCTAGTTAAGATTTGAAATTAGATCTGTCTGGACCTACAGCTCTAAAAATCACTGTCAAATATGGCTTCTGATTTCAGTCTTACATGGGACAATTGAAACCCACACTTTTAGGAAATGGTTTTCCAAAGGGAAATTTGGAAGCTGATCTTAATAAAAAAATCACATATGTTTAGAAAAAAACCCTGCAAACCCGCTTGAAATACTCAAACTACAACTCAAACTTTCTCCATAAGCTTAACAGTTGGTAACATGAGCATTAGCCGCCCTCTATCCTTGCAAATTACAATGGGAATGCCAGTTGAGTAAAGTAAAAAACAATACCAAAAGCAACAAACAAACAAAACAAACAACAGCAAACAACCAAAAAACAACGCAGTCATACATTACTCTTCTAGTGGAAAGACATGTGAAAAACACTTCCTTATGATGTATTTTCCTCAAGAGAACTGGATGTTAAAAAACGGATAAATGACAAGGAAATCCGAAGCTCTTCCCATCTCCCCACCTCATGTTTCCTAGAACCTGTAATCTAAAGACCACGTTTATGTCTGGTGATGAAGATTGTTACAGTGTGTGCTCACAGCCTAATGAACAAAGACAGGACAATTTATTTTGCTTCTCTTTAAACTTACTCCTGCACTCTAAAGCTTCATCTTTGAATATCATTTTATTTGTTTATCAGTAACTATTTTTCTTGAAATGACTGCCTTTTTTATTAAACTGAGGTAAAACATTTTCTCCTCCTCAAGTAGCACTACATAGGATTGTAAGCTGATTTTGAACTTTGTTAACTGCTGGGAAACAACACATTCTACTTCAGCTTAATTCACCTCATTGATTTAATCTCCCAAGTAAGGATTCAAATGAAGTTTTTACTCAGTTTTAAAGTTCCTTCCTGATCACAACAACCCATCACAGCTTTAGTTTCAGCTTGGAGTTATTACCTGACCACCATTTTGATGGGATACACACCAACTCTCAATCTCTTCTGTTCAGGTATATTGTAGGATATTCGTCCACTGCTGTTGGATATCTCTGTGTCAAAATACACCCACCTACCCGAAGATGGCTCAGTCATTATGAAGATATCCACCTGCAAAACCAATGAAACAGTAATCCAATGTGAGAGTCAACAAAACACCCCCTATTTACAAAGCCTGCCAAGCCTAGATAATATTAATATCTCCAGCCATGGCTGGTACTATACAAGGAAGTTTGAAGGAACTTCATGACTCAGTAAGAACTTCAAAGAGAGTTCTCTCAATAAGTAAATGCTTCCTAACATACAATACAAAAGCTTATTGCCTTTTATTGTCTTCATAATTTAAAGCCCTGATCTTAGCATTGCACATGTCAAACATAGATATACAGGTCAGAAATTTGGGAGGAACCGTAAACTAGGACAAAGACAACTGTATCTTGCACAGCTATATTACCTTTTTCACACACTAAAATTAAAAAATTTCATCTGGTTATTGAGACAAAAATCTTTCTCAAATCATAACCTTGCCTACAACCAAAACACTTCAAATTATCAAAAGATTTCATCAATATGGTTTTCTTCAACTGAAATATTTAAACCAAATTAACATAAAGGATATTTTAAATATTTTGCTGGGCCAGAAACAGGCCAAGTGAAGCTTCCACGCTTCAGTTTTGCCCTCAGTTCAGCAGCATCGCTCTCTTAATTTGCACAGAAACTCTTACAATCTCAGTGAATATGAAAAAATATGTTCACTTTATGCTTGGTTTTATTAGCTGTAAGCCTGGCTTCTGGAGGCAGCTTTAGGATTTCAATTATGCCACATTACGACTAATTTCTAAAACTAATCTTTACTTGCCCATGTGTAAGATACAGCAGCCACCTAGCCTCTAGAAATCCTATTCTTTTAACTATTTGTTTTATCTGGATAGGATGATACATGATTTTCTTTTAGTGCTTTGTCAACTACTACAAAATTCTTTTTTCTTCTTCCTCAGAAAGTTAATTGTCTCCAGTATGTGCTACAACTGGATGGCAGGTTCAGAAACCACTGTGCAGCACACTCACCACTAACCAAAGCAGAGAGCCACAATCAGGTAAAGAGAGATGAGAGCTCAGAAAAAGGTCAACTCTCAGGAAAGCCCACTTTACAGCATGTTTTTTATTAAGTTGTAGGGGCCTAGTGACATATTTCCCCTCACTCTAAGGCTTTCCCTGACATTGTACGTGTCCTACATTCAACAACTGTTTCTACTAAAGAAAGAAAATGGATTACTCAGACTTCACCTTTTCACCTGTTAAAGCCACCATGTCCAGAGGTCCATACATAAAGCGCCCAACTAGTACCTGAGGACCATCTTCTGCTGCAATGACATCGTTAGCTCGGTGATTAGCAGTCACATTCTGAAATAAGAGCAGAGGATGGGAAGGATGCTGTTTGTTTTCGTCACGAGGCTGCTGTCTCTATTTTGTTATGAACAGTGACAGAGAAGTGTAGTTCTGGACAGTACGTCTGAGGTACATCAAGTGCACTGCAAACCCATTTCAGCTGGAGCTGGATTCCCAGTAACGGTGGGTTCCTGAACAGACTTTCTAGAGAGAGTGCTCAGGACGACCAAATAAGAGAGAACATTTAAGAAAAAAGCCAATTCTTTTTCACTTGAAGTGGTGTCATAGAGCCACATAATTATGTGCAGGGCACATGAATTTTAACTGAATTAGTACCTGAAGAAAGGAGGAAATATATTTGCTTGGTCTGTGGATTTGTCTAGCATAAAAGAACCTTTGCATAATGGAAACTTAGGGGTTGTCTGTTATTTAAAGAAAGAAATGTACCTTCTCCCAACATGAAATGATAAATGAAGACAAAATTGCTCATATTCCCTAACCATTAATCTGACTGCCTCTGGATTAAGTTAGCAGTTTTCAGCTCTTTAGTGATATTCAGTGATGCAAACTCTTACTCGGGGAGATAAAACTCCATTTAAATTTCTGCCAAACCCATGTTCCACAGCTGCCATATGTATTCAGAGTTAAACTTACCCTCAATTTGACATGTGTTCTTTTGCGTAGCCATTTTTCTCGTGGATTGGAGAGACTTAGTGTTTCTGGATCCAGGTTGTCACTTTCCTTAAAATTTACATTTTCATACCTCATCACCTGAAATATCAGTATTTTAATAAAGTGTGTGACGTGGTACTTGGCAAAGAAAGAGAAATTACACTGGTGCCCCAGCTGAGTGACACTGCAGAGCCAAAAGCACAACGGAAGCAGAGAGAGGTAAAGCCATATGTTCACACTAACTGCACAGACAGACAAACTGCTTTCATTCTGTTGGCCAACACTTAATTTCAAATACTTATTGAACAGCTTTTTCATTTTTCACAGAGCCTGCACATTCCTCCAGAGAAAATGGTGAAAACATTAGGGTAGTACCAAGTGACAGTCACATTGTCTTGACGATGGTCTGCAAAGTCAGTCAAACAGCTTAAAACCACAGAAGCATTTTTAATGTCCTTTTTGAAGAAGACGTCAGATCCCTGACTTAGTCGGTATCGATTTGCTACACATCTACTCAGAGAGAATGTTTCTTATCCCTTTTGGGTATTGCTACTGCAGTAGGCGATAGGCAGGGGCCCACAAGAACCCACAAGGACCCACTGAAGTCCAACTTGTGAACATGCAGAACCCTTTTATTTCATACACATTCATACAACCTAAATATCATACACTTACCAAGAAACTTGCACGTCCAACTCAGATTTCAGGACACAACCCACAGAATTCAGAATCTGGGTGTGGGTTATGCCACATTTCAATTGAAAACAGAACCCCGGCCTCACTGAAATCTGTGGGTTGTACCTGCAATCACAAATAGCTTTTTTGAATGAGAAATAGATAAGAAAATTTTTCAAGTTGAACGGCTCGTTTTCTGTGCTGAAGTTTTACAGTCTCGGTGCCCTTGCTAGAAGATTGGTCTAGAATAATTTTAAAAGATGTCTTACAAGAAGTTCCTTGAGTAAAATCATGCTGCAATCAGAGCCAGCACAGCAGCTGGCTTGCAACAAATCACAGTAATGTTGAGAAGTAAGCATGGTTTTCAACAAATTGGCATAAATTCTATTCACTAGAGGTAATGTGCAGGCAATATATGCATCCACAGGGCATTCAGGAGCCATTAGTCTTAATCTTAACCCCCAACAAGGGCAGAAGATCCAGACTGTACTGGAACGAACCAATCCTTTATGTAGTGCTGTAAGCTCACATACTGCTTTACAGACATGTTCTAAGTGCTTGAAAGGCTTATTAAATTCTAAAAGCTGTAATGTACCTACAAGGCTAGGAAAATCTCCTGTAAATGAGAGACTCAGCTTTCTTATGGAAGCTATACTTTCAAACTGGTATACTATCAGATGTGTGCTAGTAATTTCATGCTTAATAGGGAGATATATAATTATCTAAGGCTGGGGATAGCTTATTCCTTCAAAAACAGGACAAAACTAATATATAATACAGGGTTAGACTGATCTGGGGCATGGGAAGGGTGAGGTGTGCATAAAGGTGCAATATTACCAGTCAAAAAGTCAGCAGTGCTAATGGTGGGCTCACTGTCCCCTTTACCTCTCCAATAAATCCAGATGTGTCACTCCTACATGCACTCGTATGTGATGCACACACAGTTCGCCATCTAATGATCTAAAGATTAAAAGACACCCTTGGAAAATGCAATTAACAATCACAAGGTTCTCTGTTGCAGAGAGAAAAAGAAGAAGAACAATTACCTGTCTTAAGATGAATGCCACAACATCTGTTGATTCCCAGTAGCTGGCATGAAAGAGATGTGGCAGGGCCACCGTTGGAAAGGCTGTCAGCACATCTGGACAATACAAGGCATAATCTATTCGTTTTGTTCCCCACCACTTTGCAGTAACTACAAAAAATGAAACAAACAAAATAGCATAAATTTCTATATCAATACATTTCTTGCTGTCTTCACTTTTGAGCTAGATAATGGAATTAAGTCTTCTGCTTTCTTTATCTTGACATTTCGAGTCTATTAAAGGTATCTATCATTCATGAAAGTACTGTTTTTACTGATTGCACCATCACTTAACTGCCTGCCATCTAAAGAGTTCTTCAGGGTCCAAGTTTTGGGAGGCAGAAATCACCTCAGCATTATCCCCACCACTTTCTGGTCCACGGAAAATGTACAGTGAAACATTAGTACTTTCATGATCATGTTCTAGAGTAAGAATTGCAAGTGCCTCTCAAACAGTGAAGCAAATATTGAGATAGATAGATAGATAGATAGATAGATAGATAGATAGATAGATAGATAGATATACAGACAGACAGACTGTGGTCTATAGCAGGACAATATAATGATTTATAGCACTTTAATTATCTTAATAATCGTAATAATCTTATCTACCTATACTGCTTCACACCTGGAATATGATCATAAACCCCTGTTACTATGAAACTCTTGTGGCTATTTATGAGTGGCACCTTAATTGTGTCTCCTTTCCTATTTTTTTATCTATCTAATTAAAAACAGAAAAGAAAGATAACTTGTGTGATGTAGAACTGCAGAAACAGGCTATTCTCATTCTTCCCAAATTCCAAATAGATATCTTTTCATAATCAACTTTTTCACAGAAACAATGTGACGGGAAAGGCTGTTGCCATATCCAATAGCACATGGCACCAGGCTTCACTCACTGTTGGTGAGGCATGCTGATGACAAGCTTTCAGTTGACCCGGAGTTTTCACTGTTTGTGCTGCCCAAGCTCAGCTTTCTTGTTTTCCCTTGTGGTTGATCAGATGTATTTGGAGATTCAGGACTCTCCTGAGAGAAAGGCATGTTCAAAGAGCTATTCTCAAGGAATAGAGCACTGTGGTTGTGGAGAACATCACCTGCAGGTTGCAAAAATGAAAATAACATTTAAATAAAGGGATGCACACCATGGTTTTGAAATCATTGTTTGTGTATATATCTTATTTCCTTATTTATTAATTTATTTTAAAATACAGGGTTAATGAGCGTTTTTCTGAATAATATCACATTCAAAGCCCATGGATGAAATGTCCTTCAGAGTGAGAATAGCATGTCACAGCACGACTGTATGGAGAAAGCACACACCCTACTGCCATGCATGTGCAACAGCAGCTGGGTGCTTTTGGCCAGGATCTTCCAAACCGAGTAGTCATTCTGGGATGACATTTTACTTCACACTCAATCCTACTCATTTTAAAGTCATTTTCTGAGAAGAATGCACAGCCCTGGGAGTCTGTGATACTTCTCCAGTCCTCTTTCTGACATTAGCAAAATGTCCCTTTTTGCATTATGTGACGAGTCGAAGATACTTCATGCCTGTATGATTTTACCTTATTTCCTATAAAATAAAAAAGCACGTTCCTTCTACTAGCACGTTGCTCATCCACCCCTTCCTTTTTCTTCTCCAGAAATCAATCTACTTCTGTTTTTTTTTTTTTTCTTGGATTCAAATCTTTATTACCAACATAACTATCGTTTGGTATCCCACCTAGGAGAAGAGCAATCAAGACTGCTCAGTGGTTGAAGATCTAGGCAAAGGTCAACTCATTGTAAAAATAAATTGTTTAAAATGATAGTCAAAGACATGGAATTTTCCAAGTGACACTTCAACTAGAACAGTGGTATCACCTTCCAACTTCTTTTTAACACACTAGTAACACAAACCTAATGCATAAGAATATTTTTTTCTTACTAATCTTCTTTGGTTCCACACTTGCTAAGTCTGTGCTTAGTCCCAGATGACTTGCTTTTAGTATGCTAGCACATTGCTATTTCAAATTCTCTTGAGCTATGTAAGGAGGGAACACTTAAAAGAACAACAGGCAATGAGAGCTATGACAACAGGCACTGTACCTAACTGGTGAGATCTTCCATCCCCTAGTGGGTATCTCTGGTACCGTGGGACACTGAATGGAGGAAGAAGATGGAATCTTTTCTCCAACAAGGGCTCAAGTCTGCAGGCAGAGGGGTCAGCAGAGTGAAAGAAGCTGTACACTTGGCTGCAGGCTGGTCGGACCTGGCATACTTGGATAAGAATGAAACAGAGAGAGAGGTCAGTATTGCTTCTTTTCAATTTGCAAGGAGTCTGTACAGAAACATAGTTAATATGGTTTTTTCCAGATTAGCACACACCTGGCCGAAAGAAATTTAACTCAATTGTTTCCTATTTTATATATAAAGAACACTTCACTGCACAGGAGTTTACAGAGACATCACAATCTGAGATGTGGGCACATAGGAAATGTGAAGAGCAGCAGAAGATAAACAGGTGGAAGCAAGGAAGAAAAATGAAGTTAAAAATCTTGTAAATATACTACTGAGCATTATAGTTGTGATGCTCTTGAAATATTTACCAGCAAAATGGTCTGATGGGCTTATGACATCCAGAGTACTTAAACCTAGGGGACAGCAGAACCTTCCCTTATATTATAAAAATTGATTCTAGCAAAACAAATAAATAAATGCATCTGAATTTTACTTGTCACATTTTCAGGTAGCTTTCTACTTCTAATTTCAGTTAAGAGGGCACCTGGCTCTTCTCAACTAATTTCCAACTGTCTGCATGATAGGTTTCAATTTGTCTGTTTTCCTCTCAACTGTGTCACAATTATCAGTTTAAAATGGGATTCTTTTATCATATGCACCTCTAAAGACTAATTATGCTTCAAGTAGACACTGCTCACCTCAAAATGTGTTTGAAATGCCCATCAGTTGAGCTGCTCTCAAAGCATATTCTCCTTTGCAGGATACCAGAGAAAGGATGGAAGTGAGAGCTAATTTGAAGAAAACACTTTAAAATACTAGTAAATTAACATGAAATTTTCCTGTCAAAGTGTCTGGAGGGTAGCAGAGCAGAGACTGGAGAAAGGACTACTGGCTAGGAAAAAAACCCCTTGGAGTTCTGAATTGTTGTCTCTTCTCATTATTGCAACAGATTTTCTCCCTCACCTGATAAACGAATGTATAATTTCCTATAAAGATGCTGTGCTATTCCAGGCTCATGTCATGAAAAGAGACAAAGCATGTGCTGAATAATGAAAAGTAAAGTAAGCTTTTAACTGAAAAACTCTAAAAATCCAGATGCTTTAGAAATAAAGCTAAAAAAAATCCTCTCTGTGTCTGATCACTCGGCTCTGTTACTAGAGAGGAAGAATGGCTCACAAGCAACACACCCGAGGGCCAAATCCACCCGTGAAGCCAGACACAAACAAGAGCTAATGCTGAACCAAGCAGAGGTATTATTTTTGGCATTGTTTTCAAGGACTGATCCTTGGTGAAGTGAGAGCCTCATGATGTATGACATGGAATAGATGATTAACAGCAGAACACGGGACACATATTTGGAAGCGAGCAGTGACATCCCTGGAACAATCCTCATCCCCTCAGTACCTACCAGCATTAACGGTCCCACCTCTTAAAGGAAGAAACTTACTTCACTCCCTGATTAACTAGGCTCCTTTATTTACCTCCTTTTTGCGTGAGAGCTTACCATCCAGACCAGGCAGAACAGTGCTCCTCATGGCCAGCACCAAACCAAGCGGTGATCCAAAAAGGAAGAAATCAGACACCTCAAATTCAAATCGGCCCAGATTTACTTCTGAGAGACTGGAATCCACAGGAGGAAGATCTGCACCATCTTTCAACACACTTGAGTGGATGCTGAACAAAGAAAATATGGAATCAAAAATAATAAAGAGGGCATTCAGAAAAAAAAAATAAAAATTCCTGAAACAGGATGCTTAGAAAGCTCTGGCACTGGCATTTAAATCCAAGCTATACACCTTAAAACTGTCAAATGATACTGCAGTGTAGCAGCCATGATTTTCAGTGAGGCTGTTCAGTAAATTAACTACCTTCAACATACAAGAGTTTCCTGGAAGTATTCTACAGAACACTTGGTAAAGTTTTGCAAGGACCATGAATATTTAAGTTTACTGCTTTAAATATAACACAGTATTTCTCCTATAAAAGAATCTAAAAGTGACTGACCAAAAACATCCTCATGTTTTCAGTTGCAAAAAGAAAAAAACAACCATTCTGTCTCAGAGGGAAAAATTCTACAACACACTGATGTCAAGAAAATGCAATGGTTTCAAAATGAATACAGAACAGTCAACAAAAACAAAGCAAAGGACATTCAGTCAAAGCAAGAATAGACTAGAATTACCTATAGAATTACCTTTATTTGCTACTAGGAAAAATACCAGACTTGAAATAAAGCACAGTAGTAAGTCTGCACTATACTCAACTCTAGCAGAACTGAAACTTCAACACACAGTAAGACTTCCTCCTCTGCATCACTCACAATGAAAGAAAGGAAATAGGATGATTGATAGAGGAACCAAAAGCCCAAATAATTCAGATTAAGTAAAAACCCAAATAGCTTAGAACCAGCAGGAACAATGAGAAAAAGGGAATGTTTATGTTCCCATCCCATGTATTTCAAAGGTTTCTTAGGATAAAGGAAAACTAAGTTAACTTCTCCCCTCAATCCTTTCATCATGTAAGCCAAATGTTTATGCAGGGCGCTTTTTTGCTGTTGTTTTAAAGCTGATCTGAATAGCTTCTAGACCAATGGGAGCACCTAAAGCAATTATCTCACTAGAGAATAATAAACGTCCTGAAAGTGAAATCAGAAGGATCATTAGAAAGAAATCGGTAACAGAAATTTACAATTATATTCATCCATCTTGTTTTGAGTGGGCTGTACTGAAGAAATAGAACATTGTGCATTCATTTTTGCATGTTTAAAACCCTCACAACTAAATAAAGATTAAATAAAAAAACTCTCCAGATGTGAGTATGTTCATACTAGACCCACTAAATCCATAGTTTTCCCTGAGGGACAGACGAGAACTTTAAGCAATCCTCCAGAAACATACCACAGACAGTAACAATGCCTCTCTTGCTAACAGGCTCCTTTCAATGACAAGCCCATTTCTTCTAGTCAGCCATGGAGCACTGCTTACCTGGACAGGAATGCATGATGCTGGGTTATGGTATCACAGTCATACGTGGATGAGTCACTCTGCTTCCGAGGCTTCTCATCCTCCATGACTCCCGAGATGTCAACAGTGCTTCTGCTCAGCTGTTTGCTGTCATCCAGACTGGAGTCCTCTGCTAAGAGTGGATTTTCCTTCAGAAAATGAACAGAGCAAAGGGAAGATTTAGACAGATAACAAAATATAAAAGAGCTTATATGAAATGCCTGCATTTATAGAGATGACCTCACTTTATCCAACAAAGGGTGGAAGGGGTTAAAAATTTCTCTTTGCAGTAGAAAAGAGATGAAGACTAAATTTCCCTTCAAGATAATAGCCTAAAAGCCAGAAGGAGAATCAGGAATTTAAGGGTGGAGAGGGGTGCAATGGGTGGAAAGGAGTAACACAAAAGCTTTATCCCTCATGACCTCATCATTCTTAGAGAACTATAAATATCATAAGATAATGGGAAGGGGTCTTACCTGAGTGCATAAAGTGCACATTACAACATTAATGATGATGCTCATCATGTTCCATGGATATGGGATCTGATTTTTTGAAAATGTTAGCTTCTGCAGGATGCAAGAGGAGACCAGTGGTACCACAGCCTTAAGATTATTTATTTATTGTTCATTATTTAATTATTTTTAATTTCCTCCAGCACTTCTGCAGCTTGCACCAGCATTGTCCCTGAAGCTGCAGATAATGCTTTTCAAAATAAATGCCACTGGACTGAACCTCACACCTCATTCATGCATGAGATTGTGTATGAGGCATGCAGGATCTGTTTTTTTCTATTGAGTGTGCATAAAGTCTGGGGAATGAGAGGCTGGAGAGCAGGCACACAGAGAGGCACCTTGGAGGTCATGGTCAATAGCAAGTCGAACAGGAAGGAATCAACAGTGTGCCCAGGCAGCCAGGAGGACCAATTGCATCTTGAGGTGCATCAGGCACAGCATTGCCAGACAGTCTAGGGTACGTGACTGTCCTGCTGTGCTCTGGTGTAGCCTCACTTTGAGTTCTGCCTGCAGTTTTGGGCACCACAATACAAGAAAAGTAAAAAAGTTATTAGAGGGTGTCCGAAGAAGCACTACAAAAATAGTGAAGGGTCTGGAGGGGAAGCCATATGAGCAAGCAGTTGAGGTTTCATGCTTATTCAGGCTGGAGAAAGGGGAACTGAGGGGAGACCTCACAGCAGTCTATAGCATCCTCATGAGAGAAAGTGGAGGGGTAGGCACAGGCAAATTCAATGAGGAAAGAAAAATTAGTTTTAGAAAGACATGGGATTAGATCTCTGTGTGATGACCCTAGAGAAGGTCACTGCAAAGTTGGCTCAGAATTGTATAAGAGACCAGGATTCAAAGCTGTTCTCTTCCTTCTTGCCTACATCTGCCTCCCAACACTCATCCATGTTTTCTCTACCACCAGTCTCCGTTTCTGTCTTCCTGGACATAACAGCATTATGCCACTGCATTCCACTGTTAAAGCGTCACTGAAACACTCTTTACAAGCCCTAACATCAAGAGCCCTGAGTCCAATTACATTGTCATGATTGGTACTTTTAAGCAACTTGCAGGATGTGTAAAACTCCAACTAGACAAGATAGAGGAAAAGAGATGGTAAGGCTTACAGGTGAGGTCTGGGGCACGGCAGAGTAAAAGACATGCAGACAGACCATGGAAAACATGCCAACTGAATCTGTTTCTCTGAAGCTACAGAAAGAACAAGTTCATAGGGCATATGAGCTATGAGATGAACCTTCCAATGCAGTTCTACCTACAGCCTCCAACAGCCAAGAGAATCTCCTGGTTTCTGTGGCAAGTGAATAGTCTTATCCCAAAAGCCGTGTTATTAATGGTAGTTCTCCTTCCTGGAAAAATTTAGAGGATGTCTCTCTGCTTGAGAGTACTCCCACCACAAGTAGCTCTCGATTGAACCAAGAAGGCTGGTATACCACTGAAGCCATTTTTGAAGGGAGGTAACTAAAGAGATGAAACAATTTTGCCAGGGTCACAAAGCCAAAGAACAGAGCTCAGGCACCTCACACAGTGTCAGCTCTAATTTATCACACCTACTTGAGCCTGAAGTACATAAGATCAGTTGAACTTCAATTTTCTTTCTGAACTGTGTTGCACACAATAATGAAGTCTAAATGCTAGTATTACTTTAAAAACCTGTACTTTTACTACCATAAAATCTTTCCTGGATCACAGGGAGAATGCATCCTATCTTCTGTGCAAATGCAGCACTTGTATAGTGGTCCATTCACAGATCCACAAGTGACTTGCATTCTTTATGAAGAAAGAGACACTTTCACTAATCACCAAAACTTACTCGTAGTATGTCTTAACGCTAGACTGCCCCTGGGAAGTAGTGTAAGGAATTCCAGACCCCAGGTGAAAAGAACAAAAGAAAGAACACAAGAACAAAAGAAAGTATTTTGATAAAAATGGCAGACTTCTGAGCAAGGACGTTTGCAGCTCCCGTTATGGATATAATATAGAGCACTTGGTAACCTTACCTTAAAGGCTAACAGATAAAGCCTTCACTACTGATTTCTGCACATCGTAAAACTGAAGCTGACAACTTCATTTTTAACAGCAAATTTTTGATACATGGGCAGAATCCCATTCTATCATAGCAATTTACCAAATCCTTAAATTTCCTCTGGCTTATATGGAGCTAATTTCCTCCATGGAATGAATCTATAGGGTTTCAGCTGTGTGTATTTTTTTCTCTTCACCTGGATGCTGCTGATGCTTCCTCTCCTGCTAGTGTTCCGACTCTCGTAAGCTGTATTAGAATTATAGCAGATGGCATCAAAGCCCAAAATTCCTCCAATGCAGTCACCTATAAGACACACCTGAAAAAAAGATTTTTTTTTTGAGATGTAGCAAATTTTTAAAAGACACAAAAAACATCACAGTAATGCAGAGGAGTTTCTGTCTTACTTCATCCCCTTGTTACTGTTTTTTACACTTTGGTTTATATTGCAGCGACTTTTTCTACTTTCTTTTATCACCCAAAATATGCCCTATGTGAAGAATATCTGTCCCAAGGACTATTTTGATGAGTGGGAGTTCTGCCAAATGGATTAGACCTCTTCCAGCTGCTTGCAGCCAGATTCCAGCTCGATAAGTCCAAATCCCTGGACGACCAGTGTCACAAAGATTTCAAGCCACTTAACATTTCCTACAGAGTCATGCAGGGAAGAGAACCTTACAGATTGGCACTCTCTTGTCAAGACAAGGGAACAAAACTTTCAAATGAGGTATTAAGCAGACAGATTCACTCTTGCTTCACATTTAATATAAATACAGAAGCCACCTTCACAGTATGGATCTGGCAATTCAAAATACTCTATTAAAACTGGGAATTCAGAAGTAATTTTATGGTACACTAGAATCTCCCTCACAAGCCAATTGCACTGAACACCTCCCCATCCCACACAAGAATTCTTTGTCCCCTGTTGCCCTGTGTGTGTCTGTGCAGGAGTAACAGCTTGACAACATGCTTCAGCTAGCCTCTCCTTATGATGCTCAAACTGAAGCAATTGTCTAATCTGTTGTTCCCAAATCTGATTAGCATAACAGAAGATATTACAAACCTTAACTTCCTTCTAAACTTAATTCAGCTTGACTACAACATTAAACTACAAGTTTTGGATACAGGATGTTGTGCATGTTTTCTCTAAAGTGAAAAATGTTAGAAAAAGCAAGTTCTTCAAGATGCAGGTAGGGAAAAAAAATCCCAAACTCGTCTCAGTGCATATCCATGTAGCATTCTTCCTATATTGAGTACATTTCTTGTACTCAACTAAAATTATTAAAAAACCACATCAAAATACACTGAGGTGATATCTATCATAAGGCATTTCTGTTTCTAAAGTTGTATACAATTGAACAGCATGCCAATTTACTCTTTGATTTTCAAATTCCTATGCTGCATAATGAAGCCCATAAAGAGCTGAAAATCTTATGATACAGGTAACCTTAATAAAATTAACAGCACTTTTTGTAGGGAGTTGGCAATATCTTCTTCAATTTACCATTGTGTTTCTAATCCTTAGTATTATTGGCATTAAGGGAAGTGAGTTAATTTGTTCCAGACACTATATAAAATCAAAATGGCAATCTCTGATCTAATGAACTTGCAATGTAAATTGACAGAAGAGACAAAAATATGAAAGGAAAGATCTACATAGGGTGCATGTCAGGATATATGATATCTATTCAATCAGTACAGGACTTATTCAGAGGCAGAGCTGAAATTTCTATCTAAGGACGAAAGCAAAGCACTTTAGAGAGCACAGAGAAGTCACTTCCATTTTAACAGTGCTGGTAGTTGATGGTGAAAATTCTATGGAACATACAGAGTTCAAGCAGACTCTTCCACAGGAAGTAATATATATTATTTGCAAACCACAACAGGGAGACTTTTTAACAGCTTAGTCAAAGAAAAAGATCATAACACTAAAGTTCTATTGAGAACATTTTCATATTATATTTGTAACTGGCATCATTCTTCTTTACATAATTTCACCATTCATTATGTTCTGTCACTGCAGGTGGGCTGGTTTGATGCTTTAACCAAGAGCAGCTTACTACACATAGTAAAACTGGCTTCCAACCAAATTTTAGTCTAAAAATACTAATATATCACAGCATAATCTTATGAGTGCCATGGAAAAGAATTTGTGTAATAAGACACATGCTTCCCTTCAAAGTTTACACCATACTCTATATTAAATGTATTTTCTTTCTTTTTCTTAAGTGTGGAGGTCACTGTACTTAAAGGAAGTGCATGTTTCTGGCATTTTGTGTAGGTGATCCCATGCTAACATTCATTCATAGTATTTGTAGTGTCCCATGCTCATTACTCAAACCCCTCAACACAATGGCTGAAACAGCCTTGCTCTGAAGAAATCTCACTTTGATGTAAGAGAAAATAATCCTACCTGTCCATTAAAACCAGCCCCATCAGCAGATTTGAGAAACTCATTGTAAACTTGATTTGCTCTACTGATCACCATGGCAACTGCATCCTGGTACTGAGGAGATGAAACAGCCAGCAAAGGCAAGGCAGCCAGTGGGATGTGGTCTTCACTGCTGCTGAGACAGCTCTCATCATAGCTGTAGGGATTTAGGCTAGAAAAGGACAGGTTATCATCAGGAAAACTGCAAGAGGCAGCACACAGCTTTAGAGAATGAACAGCTACTAACAGAAATGGGTTGGGCTACTACAGTTCACAATGGGCGAACACAGGAAGGATGATCTTCTCAGAGAATTCAACTCCTTAAAAAACCCAAGGCATTACTGCTCTACTACCTCCTCAACTCTTCTGCAGGGTTTTTTGCTCTGCATGAGCTTCAAATTTAACTCTGAGCACTATATTGCAACAAAAAAAGACTCTAAAAGCAACCATCACTTAGGGAAGCCCAAGACAAAACAAAGAGAAGTGTCTCTCTGCTTAGAAATACAGAAATCAGGAAAATCTGATTCTCTCCTCCTCTCACCAGAGTTCAGCAGTTAATCCTTTTTGTACTTGTAGAAGAGAATATTTATGCCACAGAAAGTAATGTTACTTGAAAACACTCTCTCATTCAATGAGTGAATTTCAAGACTGAAAAAGCAGCTGAGGTAGAGCAGCTACTGAAGTGGATACATCCAATAAAAATATTTTTTAAAACAAATTCTTCTCCTTAGAAAAGGATGAAGATCGCTGCAAGTCTTGCAGTCAGCAAAAGATTAAGAATGATTCACAAAATTTTATTATGAAATATATGGGTCACAAAAAATCATTCAAAACCACAATGCATAACCAAACACCAGGGAATGCAAATCGACTTACCTGGAAACAAGAGAGAAAGCTGCTGAACAGATTGCTGGGCAGGGAACAAGTCTCATTAAAACGTGGCCCAAAGAGGCAGGGAAATGGGCTCGGGTCACTTTCTCAAACACAGAACTGAAGGTGTTGATGTCTGCCACCTTGCTGCTGTGGTCTCCACTTCCAGTGTCTAATATGTTCCCCCCATGTAGGATCAAAATTAACACGTGAGTTTTGCAGTTCTGGTGTTGAACTCCTTCCTGTGAGAAAAACACAAAATAGGACAGGAGGAGGCATTTTTATGGACTTTGTTAGTTTACTTAGCGTCAACATTAGCAGTGATTTTTTTTTTTCTCCCACCCCCATGATGATAATTTTGTGATATTTGCTTTCACTGCAGTGGGTGGGAGCGTGTGTGTGCACGTGTGCATGTCCTGTGCTCCATTTAATTCAAGTAGGTCTGAATCATACAGAGTCCACTGTGCTCTGACACAAACCCCCGTGCAGCACAGATGTAGGTTTCACATCAACAAAGATTAAGACAGCTTTATGTAAATCAGAAGCTACTTTAAATACTCTGGGATTGGAGAAAAGTTCCAACCTCCACAGGCAGCGCAAGCAATCATCTGTCTAGGTATCCTAGTGATTGCTTCATTTACTGACAAGGCTCTTATTCAAATCATCACAAGTCCAAAAAAGACAAATTTCTCTGCCAATGAAAACACCCAGCAAAAGCAGACGATACAGTTATCTCAGACTTTTGAGACTGGTAGCTTCTTATTAAAATTACTTACTGAAAAAGTAAAAAAATGCATCATTGCTGATATCCATAAAACTCACAAATTTATGAATATGTGAGCAGGCACATAAATGGACAATAATCAGCATGTTTTGTAGAATAATCAAGACATTTCCTACTTGAAACTGGAAAGGCATTTTGAATGTTTCACAATTTCACCTTTTTTTCCCTCTTTACCCCTTGATACTCATGTGCACTCCAAGAACTCAGTAACAGATTAAAAGATTAGATTTTTTGTTGTTAAACCTTGACTGCTATTTCCTTCTTCACTTTGGATAACATTCCTGAAGGTTTTTAGTTCCTGACCAAATATGAACACGCTGCAAAAATAACAGTAATGTTTTTTTGTCCAAGGATCATTAAATGCTAGATTGGGTGATTTACTCAGAATCAGGCAATGTTCTGGACAGTTTATTCTTAAGTTCTGGATTGAAGGGAAATGGGTAACTTTAGCACTTGGTGCTAAAGTGACAGAGAAATAGCTGAAAATGAGAGAATTGTAGGTTGCTCCACTATCTCTATGCAGTCTATGAATTTTAGCATCCAGTAGAAGTATTCATTGTGAAGGCATTTTGCTGATCTGACTTTTATCTGCTTAAATACAGGAGAATCATAAGAGTATTTTTCAGATTCCACTTTTCCATGCACTGATTTATAATTTCCTTCTCCATAAGGTTTCATTGCAGTTTTCACAATAGAAATTTAATTCCCTTTAAAAGTTAAATGCAGTTCCTTCCATGGACAATGTCTGCTTCTAAATAAACAGCACTGCTGAAGATTTGGTGGAACTGAAAGATTCAAAAAGGAAAAATTCAAGTGGGTCAATACTGCTGAAGGCATTGGTATGAGAAGTCTCTCAGCTGGATTTAACTGGCATCTTTCACAAGGAGACACAAAGGGAATAAAATTAATTTGTCTCTCAGCAGTAGCTCAGCCATGATTTAGACAAGGTGCTCAAGGACGAAATTGACTGGACATCTGAAGTCAATCAATGACTGTCATCGTTTTAAGGGGGCTGTAGGACTGAGTTCTTCAGAAACGGTAAAGTAGACATTTCCATTACCTGTCCTATGTGTGGACAGAGTACCTTAATCAGTTTTCTGGAAGGACCATGTGTTGAAATTCTTTCCTGCTTCTAAAAAAAGGCAATTCTGTTATTACCAAATTCATGACTGTTGCTGAATCTGCCTCATAAAACCTGCGTTTCTAGTCAAGTACTAAGCAGACATAACAATTTCTCTTCAGAAAATTGAGTCCTATTTCCACCTAAGTATGTCATGTCTAAAGATCTTGTGAAGATTTTCAGTGATTGCATGTGCACCTACTAAACAAGGGAAAAACACACTAAGCCATCAGACGAGTTTACAATTACATAATACAATATTAGAGTATTTTTACATGTCTAGTCTTCGAAAATCAGCACAGCTTATTTAAAGAAACAATCTCACCTCATTGTCCTCATGTATTTCAATACTGCCTTGTGCAGGGAACCTTTGTTTTCTTAAAGAGGTTCTATATAATTCACCTGAAAGGAAAAGAGACATATTAGTCATATAAATATTTGTCTGTTACATCTTTTACAGACATCTATGGAGGTAACACACATTTCTAATTTCAAGACAGAAAGTTCTGTTCACAGGAAATCCTGTAGACAAACAGAACAATGTAGGTTCACCAGAGATTCAGAGAGACACTAAGCAAGCTCTGCATCTCCAGCTTTGCCTGAAGTAACTCGTTGCCGTGTCTCTTCATGTGCTGGAGCATATCAGATCTCAAGATCATCACGAGAAGAAAGCCAGGTGAAAGGAAAAAAACGCTGAGTGATTCAATATCCCAAAGCATGCATGAAAGGCAGGGGTTTGATACATGACCAAAAAAAAACTTTGTACACCGAATTTAGGAGAAGAGAATTGGTATGATCATTCCTAAACTTCTGAGTTCTTGAGAGGAAGTTTGAACTCATACCAAGAATCAAGACAGGTCCTGCTTTTTTATTACATAGACCATTTCAAATATCCTTAATATTTTGCCATGTTAATTAAGGAGAGATTTAAAGGAGAAAAAAAAAAAAAGAGAACTTGTGTTGGCTACAAAGCACAAAGTGATGATAGCCCCAAAAGAAAACTGCTATTTCCATTATCATGCTCTCATGAGAAATGATGCCATTTCTTGCCATCTGCTGCACTATTGCTAGCCCTTTATAATGACAAATCTGTCATAAGAAATATGTTCACATGAAGACTGTGACATATGCTTTCTATTAACAAATGAGAAAGAACACTGTAAATATACTGCAGATGCAGTTTTGCAAACTGCACTGTTTATAGGAAAATAATGGCATGCATTACTGAGCCCAATCCTACTCTGAAAATCACAGCATGACAGAGTTGCTGTGTTAAGTTCCACAGTTTCTCCATTGAATCAGCGCATATACACATACACTACCAGATCTCATAAATGACTACTACAGAAGTAGTCATAGTCAGGAGAAGAAGAAACTGAGCTGAGGATGTCAACTCAAAATGCTCTGCAATTCCAGTTACCACACCAGGCCAGATGGGAAAAGCGTGATTTCCAAAAGAGAAGAGGTTGGCACCTAGTGACAACATGTGCTTATGAACACAGCTGCAGGAATAAAGAACTGACATTTCACTGTGAACTCCAGAAAGGTAACGGAGAGAACTGTGATGAAAGGCAACACCCTCACTAACACTACACACTTCTGTAAGTCAATTCCTGCTCTTTAGAAAGCAATGCAAAAGCATAGAAAGATCAAAAGCAGAACCACATGTAAATACACTCATGAAGTTGGGCACCAGCAGCAAAGGAACCCTAGCAATGCCAGGCTTGGCATTACTTTTCATTCTTACAGCACTCAGAAATTTTAACAGCAACACTTCTTGCACCTCCCTAAGCAGAGGTGGGAGAAGGAAGTCCAGAGCACAAAGCACTGAAGGTTCCTACACTCCAAATTGAGCCATGTTGTATTGTCCTGTGTGAGCTATTGTGAACACCAGCAGCTTCACCCTCCAGTGAAGCTCTACCTCTACCATTTCAGCCAACACTATAAGGCACTTTCCCAGTACATTACAATAATCCAGGTAGAAAATAATTAAATTTAAAAGAAAATGTAAAAGAATCATGGTCTGTCCACATGCATTTCTCTTCTCAGTGTAACATACCACAAAGGCTGTGCTAGTTAACAAGTGCTACTACTATCTCTGGTTATCGAATAGCTTTGGTACAAAGATAAATGAGAACAACTTCAACTCACGTTGTTTTTCTTGTAGAAAGCCAGATGAGCAAAATGCAGACTCTTCACCTGCAAAAGAGAGCACAATGTAAACTAAAATTGCTTTACATGAACATCAAGTTCTTTACTTTTTGTCCTGTGTTGCTGCAAATATTTGCAAGTGACTACTACTACACTGATTTCCAAAACCCCCACTGGCATCCACGGGAATAGATCAGCACATTACACACTTGACAACTGCTGGAATCTATTAATCAAAATGGTTATACTGGAAGCTAGATTTTACTCTTCATTTCAGGAAAGGTATCATAAGCAATGAAACTTATAAGTAGGTAGGGAGGAATCTATTTGATAGAGGAATGTAGGTAAGAATCCATTTGATAATCTGTAGCATTAGCCACTGAATCTCTTAATAACTAAGAAATGGCATAACTTACCTAGCAATACAAACCAGATTCTTATTACCAATATTTATTTAGCAGCTGTTTAAAGAATATTTCTGTCCTTCCGTTCCCTCCCACAGTCCACCCATCCAAGGGAAGTTGCAAGTACTCAGATCTAAATACAAAAACCTAACATAGAGAGACATGGGAATAAAGGCCCTTCCTATAGATAAAGTGCTCCTACAGCACTCTGGCCACTACTACCATGGAGGTGAAACATCTTTGCCATCATTTGACCATGACAAAACTCAAAGGTATCATTCTACCTCTACCTACATCTACCCTCAGAGCTGGGATGAGAACACAGGTCTCTCCCCCCTCTAGGTTCTTTCTTCAGAGGCCCAGGCAACATCTACTTTTTCCCCAAAACCTACCTACCGCTGGAGTACATTCATACGTGTGACAGACACAGAGCTCTCCTCCTGGGGGGCACAGCCTGACTCAACAACAGAGGCAACATCCCATTGCATGTGTTTGGCATCAAAGAACAGAATAAATGACAAGGGCCAGGGAAGCTGGTGGTCCTCTATGATATGTGAATAAAACTGCACGTGCAGCCGTTGCCTGCTTCTGCCTGGTGCCTAAGAAGACTCTAGAACTTGTTGACACGGTCTCTCAATCTCATGAATTAAAAATGCTTTTAGTGCTAAATCCAACTAGGGTTAATACATAAAGAATAATAATAATGTTTAACTTCTCTGATAATGCAGCAGTACAAAGTAATTATTCTCTATTTTTTCAGATGCTCCAACGATCACAGCTGACAATTTGGTTTTGAAGGGAATAAAAAGGACAGAAAAAAGGACAGGCTTCTAATATACAGCAAAGAAATCTGCTGTGTCCATTCTTTGTGCAAGCTGTACTCGCAGTACACTGCCATACCTTACCTTTGAGGAATGAAAATCATTTGAACTAGCAATCTCCAAATTTCACATACAATCTCTTTCATTTTCAGTTCCTTGCCAGGACAATTCACAGACTGTTGTTCTGCCAAAGAGGTTGAGTCACAACTGTAACCTGCTTTCAGTTTACTAGGGAAGAAATATTAACTGCAATAGCTCATAGACAGAGTCACTGCTGAAGCAAAGCAGCAGTCAGTCGCTCCCTTGGGAACAATGTGTGAAGCTCTCAGGAATGTGAGAGCTAAAGGCAAAAACCAGACCTCCATGCCAAGAGCACAGACCAGCCTTCTGAAGTGCTTGTACACAATTCCACAAATTACAACATGTAAAACAATGGGTTTCATGAAGGAAATTTCTTCCCATGGCAGCTTTGAATGGCTGTGCAGATAGAAACTCTCCATCACAAAAGAACAACTGTCGATAGAAACTGAAGAACGTCCACTACAGAACAAAAATTAAGTTTTATTTGGTAGAATTATGAAACAGTTACTTTTTAAATTTCCATCCCACAGTAAATTTAACATATTCTGAACAAAATGCCACTTCTCTGTCCCAGAACTGAAGGATGATCTGCAATTACTCTTATTTGCATGCTACTAAAAAAAAATTAGAAAAAAATCAGGAAGGTGTTTTTTGGGCAGTGTTAAAACTAGAATAGAAGCCACCTTATTTTCGCACAGAAGATTGGTAACACCAGTAAAAATAACCATTTCTATTCTTCAGAGAAAGCAGCTACAGGTAAAAATAAGATTCACAAAGTTACCTTTAGTGTCATGCTGTGGTACATAGCCATTACACATACATTAGATTTGCAGACTGTAGCCATTACACATCCATGTAGCTGTGCTCCTGAGATGTCAGAGGGCATTTCGTACAATTCTTGGCTCCTGTTTTGCTCTTGCCTGGGATTACATCAATAATGGGTCCAGCATTAGAGGACAGCACAGCAGAACAGAGTAATGCACCTCAGCACCAACGAGATACCAGGGGAATTGTTCTCTTCTTTCTTTCCTCACACATCCAATCTTGCAATACTGACCAAAAAAGGTGCCAGCAAGCTTTATGGTATAATAACTTTCTGCATTCTAATAATCTGAATTAGTGTAACAACATAACCATACCACTGGAACAAACAACATTGATGCTCCTCTTTAGAACATGACTTTCACCTCAGCAAGAATCCTGTGAAAATTAACTTCTGAAGAGAAAAATCTGTTTTGTTAAGTATTTTTTTTAAATGCTGTAGCAAATGTAACACTAGTGTGAGCATAGATATGTCAAACTTGTGAGAACAGGGAAAGGAAATACCTACAGATGATATGATCCTCTCCATGGGAATGGCAGCCAGGGAAACTCTAGGCCAATGAAAATGATGCAAGAACACATGCTGATTTCAGCATGTGGACCGGATCTCAATACAGATTAAAAAATGGAAAGGGAGAGACTGCAAGGAAAGCACTGCTCTCTGCAGCAGGACTCAGCTCTCAGCTAAAAAATATCTTAGCAGGTAGATTCAGCTTCCTCCATTTTGCATGCATTTTCTGAGCTGTATTCTAGAACACACAGCATCACAAAATTAAATGACTGCAGTTACACAACACTAGTAACCTGCCCAACTATAAACTGCCATCAGTGGTGATTTGCAGAAATCTAATCCACTGCTTCTCTCTAAAACCTGCAGCTAGAAGTAAAATCTGTTCTTTATAGGAGCAATCGGATGTGTTTTGGAATGCTGATGACTATTGTAGCTTCCATCCTTCCTTTCTAATGTTCACTAAGCCAAATTTTCTGTTCACCACTCTTCATATTAGTATTAATAGGCAGCAGTAGATGCTGTTGCAATATATTTAATAGCAGCATAAACACTACAGTCAGATATGTAAGAACACCACTTAATTAATTATGTGACTCCAGGAGGGCATGACGAGGAGAGGTAGATCACATGCCACTGGAGGGAAGGAAGAGAGAAGTTTGTTTATACAGAACAATCACTGTGGACAAAATTAGGTAAGGCAGCCCTCAGAGGAAAGAGACAGAGGGAGAAACACCAGTACCAGGTAAAACTCACTATAGCAGTCATGAGGGTGTAAAGATTTTTCTGTTACATTGAATGTTTTAACTACTGCATAAATGTTGGAGAACCGCTGAAATGCATGGCAGGTGTAACAAAGGGGACTGCATGAGTGAGCAAATGAAAAATGAGACCAGATGAACCCACTAAAGACACCACAGCCTGCACCAGTCTTGCACAGGAACACTGGTTTCCTGCAGGAGTTCAATGGATCCAATTCAACACAGCTCATAATTTCAGACAGTATGGGTAAGTACCCACTTCACAACTGACAAGTCACTTAACACAATGTCTAAACTGTGCAATGCAAAAAATTAACCATTCCCATTAAAGCGGAGAATGCTAATTCACACCCAATTTATCTGAAATATTTTCTTTTTATTGCCTTGACCTAGTAATTAACTTTTTTTTCAAACATTAGAACTGTAAAATTCAACAAAAACAAGACCAGAATAGAATCATGCTGAATTACTTTTATAGACAGGAAAGAATCAAGTGAGAAATAAATATATAAATTTCCCATTATTATACAGGGAAATTATACAAATATACAAATTATACAAGGAAGAAGAACAAGAGAAAAAAAATCCAATCTTGCCTGAAAAAACTGACCTTAAAGATCAAATTATCAGCTGCATTTCTGTCATACTTTGCAGTTAACTCAGGGCTGATTGCTAGCACCTTAGCATCACTCCTTGCCAAAATTCCACTTAACCACTGCACAGGGAGCTGCAGCCTCTGCTTTGCTCCTGACCAAGCACCATATGTACACGTTTAAACACCATACAGCCTCTACCGTTGACTTAAACTGGGATTAATTCTATTTCACAAGAAACAATAGATGGTTTTCAGAAAGACTGCAAAGTCTTTCTCCTTCCACAAAAACATCAACCTGAAGAATGAGGTAGCTAAACTTTCCTCATACATGTAAGACTCGTACCTATTGTCCAACAAACCAGCTGAATATTTGATGAAGAATAATCTCCTGAAGCTGATTAATTACTTCTCTCTCACAGTAATGTTTCTCCGTAATACCAGACTACTTATAGTCTTAATTTGATGGAAACCTGAAGCAGTACTGTTCTGCAGCCAAATCAAAAACTGTTTGTGTCCTACAAAGTAATAAAATTACGATTACTTCCTCATTCACTTTCCTATCTCTACCTTCCGGTGCAGGGCAAGATCATGGTAAATTTTTGTAGCAGCTATCACTCTATCCTACCCTTCTGACTGGTGTGGTCTTACCTTGTGCATTACTTTGGCCTAAGCAGAAATTCAAAAAGTCTGGGACAAGACAAAGGCATTTTCGTAAAGGCTTAGTGCTCTGGAATGCCCAATACAATTTCTGGGAGCTTAGATGTGCTCTGAAAAGCTAATCCTCACGCAGCCTGCTCAAAACAAAACCAAACTTTCTCAAAACAGAAGAAGCCCTGTCATCAAGTTAAGTCTTTCTAGCAGCCTTGTGCACACAAGACAACAGGAAACATGAATTCCAAGCTCCTGCTGTGTAGTCATATAGTTTAGCTTTAGGTAGTCCTGTGGGGAACAGGAAGTTGGACTTGATCCTTATGGGTCCCTTGCAACTTGAGATATTCTATGATTTTATAAATTAGCTTACTCCACAGATACATATCAAACTTAATCTTAACCAAA